TTGTTTTCAGAGACTGTTTAAGTCTCCATCATTATCATACCAGTCGTTAACTGTCCACTGCTGAACATAATCCTCCCTCATTGAGGAGGGTATCGCCAATAGTTGCCACTTTTGGTGGGAAGATTGTCAACAGCAGTTAGGCTTTTGTTGGTGTTTTAAGAGGGACTCTTCTGCCTATCTCTCGACTACTAAGTCCTCTTAGTCACATCTTATGACACTCACCGGAAATGATGGCCCACTCTAATATGATACTACACAGCAAATCTCCATATATATATATTATATATCCAACCATTAAATGAAACGCAATAAACTCGCATAAATCATTTATAATTAATAATATAATTGAAATTTTGTCTGCATTTTGATTAATGTCCACTCCAACATTGTTAAACTGATATTGTGTACAAAATTATTTAAGCCCTTCAATTGTAGTTGAATATTGTATATAAACATTGTTATTCAGCGGGAAACCTCGAATTGAACTGATGACGTCGATTAATTTATCACAGAATCCATTGTTCCTCAAAAGCGGTATAAAAACGAGGCAATGAGGGCGAGCGGCGGGAGCGCAGGGCGGCAATTTCACGCCCCAGTGGCGCGCGAGGCCTGATTGGAAAGTCCTGATCACGGCGCGACTGAACTGAACACACTGTAATAACGTGCAGTTTTTGATTTTACAACCATAAAATTATTTTATCCTTATAAAATGCTTGTTACGCAAATGTCGCTGTAAGAATAATGGTTTTGAAACCGACTATAAACGTTGGATGACGTTTTTTATTAATGAACTAGTGATTAACCACAACTTCGTATGTTTTTTTTTAAATAAATTACAACCCATATTACTCATTAATAATGTAGCGTTCTACAGATGAAAGAATCCAAAAACTAATGCATAAAACGACTAAAGAATTCAATAACTATTGCAACAAATTGGATGCAAATTTCACAGTTGTGATCCTGAAAGTCTAACTTAAAATCGATGTATGCTTTATATTGATACACCATCTAAAAATGGTTTACCTACTTCCAAAATCGCGGGTAAAAGCTCTAAACTTAATATAATAATGAGAAAAGATTAAATGTTTTGTTTCTAATCGAAAACTAGAAAAGAAACAACCAATTTTAATAATATTTCACTAATAGAAAGCTACATTATAAGCGAATAATATGGATTGTTTTTCATTAAAAAAAAGACTAGAGATAGCCTATCTATCCGTGCGAAGCCGGGGCGGGTGGCTAGTAGATAATATCTCAATACAAAGCACAGAAGTGACAAAACATTAGCATGCAACATGCAGTGACGCCCGCACAACAGCGTAGCGACAACGCCGGATGGCGTTTCCGTAGCCGATACACTGTGAATGCCGCTCGAGATAGTTTTGTGAGCTGAAGCACTCTATACTCGCTGTAGTCGCGTCTTTACATATTTTTAAGGCTGAGTGAAGTGAAAATTACACATTTTTTAGTGCAACAAATACCTAAATTATTTGTCACGTACTGCTAACAGTACCTACTCGGGGAAAAGGGATTGTTAGCGATGGAGACTAAGAATCCCATTGCTAGCAATATACCCAACCAGGTCGACCTCCTCGTGGTTCCCTGGAAACTATCATGGTTAATTCCTTGTGAATTCGTCATGATGAACTAGCTGGCCTGTTTTTATTCTCATCGATCACCTTTCATAAAAAAAAAAAAACAGTACCTACTCGATTACTCGGGAACGTATAACCCCCTTATTCATAGTAAACTCCATTTAGCTATTAGTGATTAGCAAATTTTTCAATTTAAATGACATTGACAGTATGCTCTCATAGTTAAAATAGATTTTGTAGAATGTTTCATTGTTTATGAAAAAGAAGGTAGGTATATATATATATATATATATATATATATATATATATATATATATATATATATATATATAATCACGTTATATTATTATCACGTTATATTTCAGTATGCTCGGCGAAATATTTGTGAAATGAATGTGAAAAATACTTTCACCTTATTATACATTCATAATTACGCGTGTACAAACGACATGGTGCTAATGGCAGCCATGGTTCATGCCGTTTTTGTATGAGGTGTCCAGGGAGTCATAACAAGCCAATTACGTCCCCATTACCCTAAATTTTGCTCACAACTGACTATAAAATTAAAGTAGAATGGAATCGTCATATAGCGCGTATCAGAGATATAATTCTCACGTATAAAATTATGTTTCTAATACTACAAAGAAAATATATGCAATAAAATATTGTTTAAGCATATCATAGCACTTACAGTCCACTGCTGAACATAGGTCTCCTACCAAAACGGGGATTATGCCAATAGCTGCCATGCTTGGCAAGCGAATTGGCAACTACAGTTAGGCTTTGGAAATGTTTTAGGAGGGACGCTGCTGCACGTCCCTCGATCATTAATTTGCCTCAATCGCCTCTTACGACGCCCACGAGAAAGGATGGGGTGGCCTATTCTATGCCGGGACCACACGGCACATACAAATTAATATGGATATAGGTAAATACAAATTATTGCACTAAAATAAGGATTTTCTCTATAAGTCGTAACCTTGAGAAGTTTTAATTATCATTGTAAAGAGGAATATATATATATATATAAAAAATTATGAAGAAAAAAGAAGAAAGAAAAACAATTTGGAGCAATATTAATAACTGTTTCAATATATACATTTCTAAAATATTAAATTTCTAATATTAGTATTATTAGAAATTCAAAATTTTATTATTTTAACGGCTTAACAGTACGTGTATAATACCATATTACATAGTGATTTGTGTAGTGGTGTAGATAGGTATCCCCATCACACAAACAAATTCGCGCGTTAAAGCTAGTCTGAAACACATATAAGCATATGACTGTAATAATTTTATCTCTTCCTAGAGCACAAAATATAAGCTTTTTAGTGCAATATCTATATAGAAATACAGACTGAAATATTCTATATTTGTTTCTATCTAGATAGCAGTAGATACTGCAGCATGCACTAATTGAAGTAATAGCATTGGACCAAATACGCGACTACTATCCAATCGCGTTGAATTTCCGTTCAGTTTATTTCTATTTCAGGATATAGCTATGCTGGAAGTGTTTGAAATTATTTTGGAAAATATAAATTATTATAAAATACGTAAACCTATTGTCAGTAATTCGGATCAAGTTGTCTACAATATAGATTTTTCAATATACCTCCCAATATTAATTAAAAAAAAACGCCAAACGTCTTATAAATCTATTTAAACAATTGAGCTGTTTTATCTCTTTCTTTGCTAAATTCTCTATTTGAAAGAAAGTGACAAAATACTCCAATAGCTAAAATAGGTTCGTAAGGTTTTATTTTTTTATGAAGAAGGGGATTATTCTTTAGTATATTCTTCTAACACAATACTCAGGTTTCTCAAATCTACTAAAAAAATTTATGGCAAATTATTGTGAACCAAACAGTAAGTTTAGATGCAGCTATGCAAATTAAACTATATTCATACCTAAACCTAACCTAAACACCAGGGGAGAAGGATTGTTAGCATTGGAGTTTGACTGCCCCATTGCTAGCAATATGCCTTATTAGGTCAACCTCCACGTGATTCCCCCTGGAAACCATCGTGAACAATTCTTGTGGAATTCGTCACGATGGGCTAACCGACCTACTTCATCCTCATCCTTCACTGGTGCCTCGCCGATGTATACCGATAGCGCGGGTGGGGTTACCGTTCCATTATTATACATTAAACAACCTAAACACCATTACTAACATCTATATTTCTTAAAAGTGAACTTATGCGAATGCCCATTAAATCTGCCTTTTGTGCCATATTTTATTGATAAATTTAAATAAATAGATTTATAATACTATAAATAAATCGCTATTACACTTCTTTATCCTTTACGCGGCATAATTGAATCGCAACTATGTTCATGTGGCTTTCATTGTAGCACTAAAACAAATAAATTGGAAGGTTAAAAAGAAAAAATAAATCCCAAAATGGGTGTATGAAATCACATATAAATGCTAGTGTAATATACTGTTAAAAAGTGAAATGACATGACCATTATACACGGTCATCTTATCTACTACAATAACAAAACACCGTTTGTCACATCTAGAAGTGCAATTTCCGTTTCCGGCCAACTATGTCCGTGTACACATCTGTTAGTGACTGTATGCGACAGAAATATCCTCTGTTTATCTCTTTTCACGCTAGTCGGCCGTTCGATCGCGGGTAATCGTGGATAAACAACTGCCTTTACGCCTTATTCTCTTGGACTACTGCGGTAATGACACTATACTCAAGGGTAAATCTTTTTTTATTACATCATATCCCTTTTGTGATTTGCGCTTTTATATGTGATTAAGTAAGTACTCAATTCTAATATATATATACAGTATTTACATAATTAAAGAAAACACGTATTTAGAAGTCATTCTAATATATAATGCAAGATATTTGTTTAAATAGACATAATTTGTTGATGCATATAATATAATAAAATCTTACCAGAGGGATACTTTGTACAAAAATCGATTGCTTCGTCCCTTCTGTCCCATTCGTGTTTCTACCATGAAGCAGTTGTATTTGCATGGATGTGTTTCGGTTTGAAGGGTGGGATATGGCGTGAATTTACAGGGTACAGAGGAATAACACCTGAGTCCTCAGGAATGGCAACGCATGGGGGGTATCATGGGCGAAACAGTATACTCTGTTATGTCCATGGTACTGCTCATGTGTATGGTATAGGCGACGGTTACCACTTTCCATCAGGGGGGCCGTTAGCTTGTTTGCCATTCTAAGTTGTATAAAAAAAAAGGTTGCATTAATTATGTATAATTATGTACATCTCTATCATACGTAAATATTGCAAGTTCATTATACAACTCTAATTAAAAATCATTAAACATAGAAATGTAAGCTACGACTTTCCCATTGCTTGTGTTGTATTAAGGACGTGGCTAACGTTATTTTTTCTTGTTTCAGGGGCTTCGGTAAACAAGGCTTCCAGTGTCAAGGTAAGAATATTTTATAAATAATATAAAAGAGATTTCATATTGGGCCACAATATGAAATCTCTTTTATATGGCAATTGTACTATTGTTAAAAGAAAAATGTTTTTGTTATACTCGTACTTATATTTCTAATTTCGTACTCATATAATTGACTCATTGAAGTCAAAATATTATTTATAAGTTAAATTATTATTTGTCCAGCTAAAAAAAATTTAAATTACAATTGTCCTTAAATATCCCATATTTAGTAACAAATGTGATATTGTAACATTGTGTTGATATTGTGATTTAGTGAAAATATTGTAAAGGGGTTAATAACAATCCCTGTCCAAATCTCATTACTAACAATCCCTTTCCCCCAGGCAGGTCAATTAGACTGTCGTGATGAATACACCTGGAATTTAGCACGATGGATTCCAGGAAGGTTTCACGGGGATGTTGATCTGATAGTATCCTATCAGATATAGAAATAGAAATTTATTATTTGACAAAAACACAAAGTTACAAATACAAGATACAATGGAGCCCAACACTAGGCGAACCTGTATCGTGGGCACCTGACAAAGGTTAACAAATCATAATGTGTTATAATAAAAAGTACATAGTGTACGGGTGTGTAGTGTACGGGTATTAATATAAAAAAGGAATATAAAATTGGCATACTGATCATTGACTGATCAGTCAATCCCGAAAAACTGTATCGTTAATAAAATCAACAATACAAATACACAAGCAATTATAAAACATTACTAATATGTAGTAAATGAATGCGGGTATGTTCGTGAGTATGTGTGAATGTGTGTTGTGTAATCTATGTGAAAGATGTGTTTTTTTTTTATACAATTTAGAATGGCAAACAAGCTGACGGCCCACCTGATGGAAAGTGGTAACCGTCGCCTATAGACATGAGCAGTACCATGGACATAACAGAGTATACTGTTTCGCCCATGATACCCATCATGCGTTGCCATTCCTGAGGACTCAGGTGTTATTCCTCTGTACCCAGTAAATTCACGCCATATCCCACCCTTCAAACCGAAACACAGCTATGCAAACACAACTGCTTCACGGTTGAAACACGAATGGGACAGAGGTACCCAAGCAATCGACTTTTGTACAAAGTCTCCCTCTGGTAAAACTGTGTACTGTATGTTATTACTTTCCAGACCATAGTTTTTCAGTTGCCTTGTAACATAGTGATAAATATAAATTATTTAATTTGTGTTTCATAATATTTAAACTATGACCTATAAGTGGACACACTTTGTTAATTTTATAGCACATTGAAATTGCTAGTAGAATATTGCTAGCAAGGGAACTAGTAGTCCCCATTCCTAACAATCCCTTATCCACTTCATGCAATGTATCCCCTTATCCCCTTAAATAATACTTATGTAAGTTTAAACTGTAGGAAATATTCAATATTAAAACTATCGCTAGTTTTCACATTGTTATAGTCTTATGTTACACCCTGTATAATGTTGTGTTTGTGTTGCAGTGTGCAGCTTCGTGGTACACAAACGATGCCACGAGTACGTGACGTTCACGTGCCCAGGGGCGGACAAGGGGGCGGACTCCGACGTATGTATACACATTAATATTTTATTAACTTACATTTACTTCTATACATTTATTATAGCATCCCGTTAAATCCTACTGCTGGACAATGGTCTATCACTATCTACACATACAGGAGAAAATATAAAATAGTTATAAAAAATAAAATTTTGTCATTTATACTTAAGAGTGTTATAAAGTTTGATCAGTGAAATGTGTTACTAATTTTATAGCCATTGAGCTGGGAACAAAAAGAAAAAAAAATCTATTATTTTTATCTGGAAGAGATTGCTTAGCAATAAAACCGACTTTTCTACTACACTATATGTATTGAAAATTGTTCAACAAATCCTGTTATGTTGGTGCAATAAAGGGTTTTATTAATTAAATAAATAAATAAAACTTTAATCGTGACAAAATCAATTATTTTGATTTATAAACTAAACTACTGAATCACTTTTGATAATTTTGTCATTTGGATGTAATTTGTAAATTCTGAAAATCTGAAATCTGAAAGTCCATATACTTTCGGATTAATCACAAAAAGAATTTTTCAAGCCGGTTTATAAATAACGGAGTTATAAGATAAAAAAAAAAACAATCGAATTGAGGATTTCCGCCTTTTTTGAAGTCGGTTGAAAACACTGTCTCTTGAAACTATAGATTTCCAATAAAGATATGCAGAAGACACGTCCATCCTGTGGAGTCTTCTATGGGGTTACTTGTTATATTATATATAATAAATGCGAAAATTTGAAACCATGGATAAGTGAATGTTTGTTACTCTTCCAAGCAAAAACTACTAAACGGATTTGAATGAAAATTTGAGACACAAGAACATTATACCATTTTTTTATGCGAGAAAAGTGCATCATGCAGACTCACACGATTTAGGGACCGTGTGGTTACTGTTTTATCTAACTTAGCATATATGATGAATGTGGAAGAAGCGAACGAAGTTTGTTTGTATCGAAGCATTTGGTGTTCCATTATTTCTGCCTACCCTAATGGGAGACAGGCGTGACAGATATGTATGTATGTATGTATGTATATGATATTTCATATGCTAATTTTCGCGTGTGAAGCCGCAGGATACAAGTAGTAAATAATATCCAATCCAATAATTTATTATTCATTTACTGTCTGTAATATACGAGGTAATCCCCTTTACACAGCCATCATCACTATTTATTAAAGTAATTATTGATTTGTAGTATTTAATACAATTAAAGTTTAATAAATAAAATTAATTAACTAGGAAACTCATTAAAATGCAAATTACATACATATACCGAGTCACGTCCATTTTCAAACGACTTCAAAAATGAAGTTCTTGATTCGGTTGTATTTTTTTATACTTATGATCTTGGAGTTATAAGATCATAACTATAAAAAATTACAAGTTATAAACCGATTTTTTTTTTATTCTAAAAGGATATCCTTTCAGGTGTAGGATCAAGCTGTAAATGGGTCTGTACCTACTTACAGATGGGTCATATTTCTAATTAGATATTTTTATATAAATATGACCCATCGATATACAATAGATAGATATTTCTATAGATATTTCTATAGATATTTCTTCAAAACCGATTTAGTTTTTAAATCAAAATGATCAGTTTTGCCACGTTAAAGTTTTTTTTTTTTTGTTAAGCGCTATCCTAATGTATCATATAAGCTAAACATTTAAACTTTAAATCCACAGGCCTATGATTACAAATATACGAGTTTGTGTCATAAAATAAATAAAACATACGCTTACACACCCACGTGTATTAACTTATTTACAGTCTCTGCTTACATCAAAACATTTTATATTTTTTATAAAAAAAATACTAGGAAACTCATTTTTTATAAATCACTTAAAAATAGATTCATTTATATCTAGAAATCTTCAGGAATCGATAATCTCTTACAAATTATAAATGTACTTGTTATAATTTTTATATACATACATTACGTTGAAAAATAATATTCTTAAAAGCAATAATATGTATAAATACGTATAGATACAAGACTAGACACCTATTGGAATAGATATAAAATAAAACAATATCAACATATAGACGTGGCCAGACTTAAATTTACAGAATAACTACAAAGAAGTTTCAACACATTAAAATATATTTTACCGCAATATCGATATTTTTCAATTAATCTATCGGTTAAATACTTCAGGCAAAGTCCGGTATATTTATTTAAGAATACCTGTCGAAACCCTTGAAGTAGATTAGAAATCTAATAATCTTTACACAAATTCCTTTAAGATAGATTTAAGTAAAACGCTCGACGTAGATGTGCTTCTATCACAAAATGAAACAAAGGTCAGGCAACCGTCATTCGGAGTGGTACGTGAGGACGCAATTTCAGAGTGAGCTAAAACTACTAACATTGGATTCTTTGTAGGCAAAGGGACTCTAGCCGAGGTAACATTTATTGGATCCAATAAAGCCGTTTCCTGCACAATAAACAACAGTGACAAACATAATTACATTCTTGATAAATAGTGGAAAATATATATTGATTAAATTGAAACCTACAGGTTTTATTGCATTAAAATAGAATTACATACACAAGTTGAAGGCGTTAGTCGTGCACCAAATGAATAATTTAACTGTACTCGTATTATAGAATATATTAAGACGTATTTCGTGAATTAAAAATTCCAAAGCATTAACTTAACAGGGAGATGCACCGTGACAGTATGGGAGGGTTAAAATGTATTGTCATTTATCGACCTTCACTCACTGATAGAATATTCCCCCTAATAATTGTAATGATTTCGATCTCGGGCTAGATTTCAGGCGGATTAAATGTCGAGAGCGTCGTAGAAAAGCACCTCGTCAGCGAAACTTTAGCAGGGCATATATTATAAATTTTAACTACTATGAGTAATAGTAAATGTTGATAATTGAAGTTATTAATTATTTGTTTAAAAATTAATATTGTACATTCAATGAAAAAATCATTAAAAAAGAAAAATAATTAGAAGTTTCTTGCTTAATTGTTAATAGCATCGTTATAGATTAATGACAGTAGTAAGTTTCACTCCATGTTAAGAATTGCTAACGAATTTAGTTTCTAGCGGACACGGTTGAACGAAACTAATTTTTCACTCTCTCTCTGTAGACAGGATAAACTTTATTTATTACCACAATTACTGACTTTTATCGATACGCACATTCTTAAGACTGTGTCCATATTTGGTTAAATTGTTATCTTATGAACGCCCTGCCGAGGTTTCCCCAAGAGACTACAGCATGAGATTCTTCAAAAGGAGGGTAAAGAAGTTTCTTCAGGATCGGCGACGCGCGCGTAATACCACTGGTATTGCAGGCGTTCATAGGCTACGGTAACCGCTTACCATCAGGTGGACCGTATGCCTATTTACCAACTCAGTGGTATAAAAAAAATGTATAATAATATCTTTAATATTGTGCAAGTAGATGTACTATTAATTTGGTGTCTTTTTGTTTATTTAAAAATTGCCTGCGCGTGCCTCATTGTAACCTCGCGCCCCTAGGCACGTGCCTAGTTTGCCTCAGGTATAAATCCGCCTCTGTCTAAGCCTGTACCTTATTTTAATACCTACGGTTTGCCCTAAAATATAATTGGACCATGAATATTAAAATCTTAATTTTCCATATATATTATAATACAACAAAATATGGCAGTCGTTCAATCAAGTAAACTGAGCAAGTGGAATTCGACTCGACCAATGACTGATTTGTTTGAATGAATCTTATCTTTGGCCATATTTATTCTACTCATCAAAATGTATTGCCAATAGCAAAAGACAGCATTACAATAAAATACTGAAAAAGAAGTTTTCAAATTTGCCTGCATAATGTGCAAATATCCCTTTGTAAATTTGTGTTCTCTATATTACTGTCATACTATGTAGTTTCTAAGAAATGTAATAAAGTAACAAATATTTAATAATATAATAACAATCTTTGAGAATAGTAATGTCAAATAACAGTACTGATGTATACAGAAATACTAGGAACTCATAAATAACTTACGAATAAATACTATGTAGAAAGAAAAACGTTAAAGATAAGTGTCGAAATAAAAATTACTTATTCTGGCTGACGTTTTTATATACGACTAATAATTTTATGGATTTTAGATTTTTTTTTTATAATAACATTTTATCTTTATAGATTTTACGCGCATTTTCCCTACATTAAAAATACTTAAATTGGACAACAGTTTGAAATGATTTTATTTGAAGGAACTCAGCAGCCACATCGATTTTAAATACGTACAATTTCATCTAAATACATTACCAACAGGACACTCGTACCCGGCACAACTTCCGCAGTCACACATACTCATCCCCGACGTTCTGCGACCATTGCGGGTCGCTGCTCTACGGCCTCATCCATCAGGGCCTCAAATGTCAAGGTACAACGCCAGGAGATCATCTGGACAGCTCTACTACAATCTGCCAATACGCTTCTTCTAACGCTTTGTGTGTGCTCTTTGCTTTTCTTACTTTTTTCAGATTTGGTGGTGGTTATTTCAATGCTAATGCTTTGTTTTTTTTTTTCATTGTATTTCATGTAGATTCTTTTTAAACTCTCCAACTATTAGGTATTAGAATTATAAGGTATTAGAATATTTATCGGACGATATCAAATTACTCGGCGTTCCTTCCTTCTTCGGAAGTCTGTTTATCGAATCTATTTCCACAAATTTGCAAGTAAATTGCGCGCCCCCGGGGCAAAATTATTTCTTGTTTTGTATTAATAATTATTTATTGTTGCTAAGGCCGCCTACGCTCCCCACAAATGGAATACGTGGACCTTCCTAGCCCCAACGTTTTGTGACCATTGTGGTACAATGCTACATGGGCTCGCACACCAGGGATATAAATGCGGAGGTATAAATTGAAATGTGATTAGATACGTGGACTTGCAAGAAACCATGGAAATTAGTTCCTGGGGTACCCTGTAGCGATATGTATATTGAACGATTATGCCTGAATCGTCACTGGTTGTCGTTGAATCACTTAATATGTTCCCATAGTGATTACTCATATAATGGTAAGATAAAATATAAATGAATAGCTACATAAAACTGTTTGGGTGTGCACTTGAGTCTGATTGGATTCAGAACAATAAAAATTGATGTATTTATCGTTGTACACAAATAATAGTATATTATTCCCCTTGCACGTATAATATTAAATTAATAGAAAATATATTCAAGCCCTAGAGCGTTATTATTAAATTAATCTGTTTATTTAATACACCAACAAAGTCCAGCAATTTTAATTAACTTTCGGCAAGTGTTCTGCGCTTCGATGAAACGCTTATGTTCCTTTTATGCAAATCTAGTCACTGTGTCGTCCTTATTAAATGTCATATTTTATACTTCGCTTATGTGTAAAGTGTAAAATGTTCAATATGCTTTGAATGCTGTCCAACTGTCTTTTGCACGCTTTGTTATTAGCGATGTAGACGTAGTTAGTTTTGTGTCAAGACGCATTTGTTCCTGTCTCGTGTACACAGTAAATGGAGCGTAGCTGTGGTGACAAAGTATCTCGTTAAAAATATTGCTATAACACTTTATATGTTAGGAAAGTAACGTAACGTTAATTGCTTTATTCAAATAACGTTGACAATTTCACGTGTTTATTTTTTTTTTAATGGACGCAATTGAAATATGACCTTGCCTGCGGTATCGGTATACACTGGCGGGGTACCAATGAAGGATGATAAGTAAGGATGAAGTAAGTTAGTTGGTCCATTGTGACAAATTCAAAATTAATCACGATAGTTTCCAGGGGATGCCACGTAAAAGTTGACCTAATGAGGTATATTGCTAACAATGGGGCAGTTAAACCCCACTACTAACAATGCCTTTCGTCTCCCTGTTTATTATTTAGGTCTATCTATTAATACAGTATTGGATATATTAGTAATGAAATCAATTGGAATGGCTACATTTATAATTTAATATTGCATGGCCAGGGTATATTATGATGTGCACGTCCACGATATTGTAGACGGAAAATTAAAATCATTTTCGTACAAATGGATATTTTATTTTCTATTGTATCGTAACGATAAAATCTAATATTTATAATTTATTATAAAAATGGCCCATTACATTGGACCGCTTTTAAAGTTAAGATGGTTTTACCATAAAAATAATTAAATTACTCTTATGTTTATACCATCGTCGTTATTTGTATGTCCTCAGGAATGGCAACACATAGGGGGTATCATGGGCGAAACAGTATACTCTGTTATGTCCATGGTACTGCTCATGTCTATAGGCGACGGTTACTAATTTCCATCAGGTGGGCCGTCAGCTTGTTTGCCATTCTAAGTTGCATAAAAAATAGTAATATTTATTATTATATAAATGTAATTCTGAATTATTATTAAAATAGTGATTTAATAACGAAGTGAAATCTCAATGATGTTATAATGTTCTTATTAAATGATTAATTTGGAATTTAGTAGCAAAAGGAAATTAGAAAGTTTTAAAGTATATTAAAAAATGAAACAATAGTTTTTATTGTTTTATATCAAACATTTTCTTTGATTAACATTTTATGACAACAATAGTCTTTAAATTTTAATTAAGAAATAACATAATTAAACTAAAACAACATTGTTTTAGTTCAGTTATAATGTTATTTCTAAAATTAATTAATTAATTTTATTTCATGAAAGATAATAAATTTTCGGTATGTTCTTCATTTGATAATTACGAGTGTAAATAAATACAGTTTAAAAATACAGAAATAGTCTCTACTGCTTTTACGTTATACGGATTTAAAGAAAATTAACGGATATCGAATTAGATCGTCTACGTTAGCAGATAATCGAATAAAGAGCTTATTACGTGTACTGAGTTACATTTTATTGCGAAAGATGCATTCAGATAATTACGAAAAGTTTTTCTTTTAGAAAATAATACTATTCTAAAGATCTTTTTTATTAGATCTCTTATGAAATAGAATAGGAGAATCGATACATATTTGATAAATTATTCGATAGATTTTGCACCACCGCTATGTTCGTTTCTTGTTTTCTGCATTGTTAGAACACAAACTCTTCTAGAATTGAATTCTTCTAGAATACTATAAAATTTATATTTTGATCTTTGATGGAGATTTATTTTTTTTATTCACATACTTAATAATGAGATATCTAAATAAATAATGGTAAGTCCCATACAATGTTTGTATAGAAATTTTTCGTCATCTCTTTACTGTACTTATTAAATAAGTTTACTTACCATCATATTTATTTATGCTTATCTACGCTATTTTTTTTTTCTAGATTTATTATTAAATTACACTTTTATATCTAAGCACATGGTGTCACTAGTGTCTAATTTTTTGTTTTTTTTAATACTTAAAATTTAAAATTAATAACTTCTTTCAAATTGATACCACTTTCGCATGACTACTATGAGGCGTTCTTTCCTTTGACGTAAGTAGTTCTTAAAGTAATTAAAAAAATCAACTAATTATAACTTTTGATATAATCTATGCTACTTTTATAATTTACAATTTCTTCTAAGGTGATATTGCCATTAGCATTTTTCTAAAGGTGTGCTTTACCAATAAAATTAAAAACTTGAACATATTATATTTCAAAAATCCCGATATTTATTTTCAATATATATACATATATTGCTCAACTAGTTTCTGCTTCTGTAGTGTGCCACGCGTTATTATCTTCGGGATTGCTCGGCCAGTTTCGGCCTATCGAGTCCGAAACTAGACGAGCATTCCCGAAAACAAATACGTGTGTAAAGTCAATATAATTAATTGTAAATGTATATAAAATTATTACTTATATGGTTTTCTTTAATGTAAAATGCAGCATGCGATATGAACGTGCACAAGCGGTGCGAGGAGTCGGTGCCGAACTTGTGCGGCTGCGACCATACGGAGCGGCGCGGGCGCATACAGCTAGTCGTCTCATGTCAGGGCAACAAGCTCACCGTGGAAGGTATTTTTGCTCGTTTTAATCCTTTTAATATTACTGTAAAGATGTGCGAATGTTTACATGCTTGTCGCTCTTAAACAGCTGAATAGATTTGAACGAAATTTGGTAGGTACATAGTTTAAGATATTTATTTTTTAAAAGTATTCACTTAAAAGTGATTACAGCTAACTAAAAGTAATAATATATAAATTTACTAGTGTAATCTTTTAGAAGAAACAATAAAGAGAAAATCTATCTATCTATATTGTTTATTATATAGATAGATATTTTATCTTATAGCTGTGAACATACAAATAGCTGTGTATACAAATAAGAATTCTTCTAATGAAAATTGGCGGTATGTGCCTAAAACATAGAAACAAGGTTGAAATAAGAATAAGATTAAAATCTTGTAGTACAATATAATTAATTAGCCACGACATTTTAAATATAATACGCATGATATTACAGTGAAGCAAGGTCGCAACCTCATACCGATGGACCCCAACGGCCTATCTGACCCCTACGTCAAGATGAAGCTCATCCCGGACTCTGACAATGTCAAGAAAAAAACCAAGACCATCCGAAGCACACTGAACCCCGTGTGGAACGAGACTTTGTCCTTCGATCTCAAGCCTGAAGATAAAGATCGCAGGCTTCTTATCGAAGTTAGTATTATGCATTTAAAAATAATTATCATAGTAAGGGTATGTACACCGTACAGTAAACAAAAATTTTAGATGGAGTATTGATTGTTTGATTATTAAAAACGTCCCCAAAATGGTCAGCTAACTGTCTTCTGATACATTGGGCCTTCATACTGTACGAAACCTTGATTAATAACATAGATATCTTAATAAATATTTTGTGTGTACAGGTAAAATTACAAGATTAAAAACTTTCGACAAAAGCGCCTTTTAAAAAAAAAAGTAAGATCGCTGTCAAGTCATTTCTAGGCAGACACTGCATTCATCTAGAATCTAGACGGCGACCACAGCTTCTTAATGTTTTCCTGGCGCATTGCTTCCTCTTGTGACCAAATTTTTAGTCACTTGTATGTCTAGTAATTTTACTATTACATTACTTTTGTGAAACTAAAACTCAAAACCTTGAATTTGAGGAATATGAATAAAAACATTAGGCCGACCCCAAAATTTATATAATTAAGATAAGGGTAGGAAAATGATGATTACCTTTATCTCGTCTCTTAAACTGGAGCACAGCATGAAAACAAGCTGCTTAAGGCAAAAGTAGATGAGATGGAACTACCCAAAACAAATGACTGTTCCTCTTAATATTTACGGGTACGACGGGTCTTCAAGGTTTATCTCTCTCACTCTTACAGTACGAGAGTGAAAGTCGTGGCAACAAATGTTTGGAGACATCTATAAATCTTTTACTGGGGCTTTGATTTTCTTTTTCCCTCGAAGCAATCCCAATGGGATTGCGTAGTACTTTATGTTTTCTCAAAATCCACAAATATATCTAAACTTTTATTTTATTCTATTGTTTAAGGTCTCCAGGGTTTTTATATGATTCACCAATACTGTATATTGGAGTATTGAATTAACCCTATGGATGTGACGAATTGTTTTATACGATCGATTATTCAGTATTGTCGTGTGTGTTATTGTCTTTACCTTGTGGTTAATAATAATATATTAATATAAATTACTTAAAAAGGCCTGCAAAGCACAAGCAACTCCTCTCGTGTTGCAAATGTTCATGGACGATAGAAGCCTCTTTCCATCAAATGGACCGTCTGCTCTTTTGCCTCCCTAACAATAAAACAAATTTAAAGAACCTCATTAGACCTTCTTTTGGTAATTACCTATCTAGTTCATGTTTAAGTCACTACCTACTTCTCACTATTTCACATGACCTAATAATAAAATGATGATAGAACCCTCGATATCAGAAGACGCTACCTTGACACGAGTATTAATGACTATTCTCACGAATTCCAGGTATGGGACTGGGATCGCACATCCCGCAATGACTTTATGGGATCTCTTTCATTCGGCATTTCTGAGTTGATGAAGGCCCAAGCCGACGGCTGGTTCAAACTCCTCACCCAAGAGGAGGGAGAATTCTACAACGTGCCAGTTCCTGAAGAGGGTACTGATCTCGCTCAGCTCAAGACTCAGATGAGAGCGACTAGCGTGGGTGCTCGTAGGGCTCCACCCCCGCCCGACAGAGAGGTTCCGCATAATATGGCAGCGGCCGACGTCATCAGAGCATCAGATTTTAATTTTATAATGGTTCTCGGGAAAGGATCTTTTGGCAAGGTAAGAGATATTTGTCAATTACTGTACTCTTAACATTATATGCTTAATTAAATTAATGGTCGCAGGATGGGTAGCAGCATCCTTCTTTAAACATCACAAAAAGTCTAACCGAGGTTGCCATCTTGCCTGCCAAACGTAGGAACTACTAGCAAAAGTTGGCCTTATAGGAGAGCTCTATGTTAAACAGTGCACGGTTAACAATAGCAGTTAAACGACTTCAAAAGGGAAAAGTTTTTTTATACCTAGAAAGTGACGAAGAAGTATACAGCCTACCTGATACAAGTTCTGGTTTTATTGCAATATCTTTAATTCTGTACGGATTTTAATCATTGTCTAAAATCAATAAGGTTTCCTCGCATGTTGGTCATATAACAAATGTTGCTACTGTTTAATAAAAGCACATTTCTTAATCATATGTATATTATATTAATCACAAAATACAATTTGGTAATGTATTTACAAGCTGGTCTACGTCTTAACAGCACCTCATTTAGGTATGGGCTATATAGACAGTAGCTTAGGGATCTCCACCACACTTTTGTCACAAATGGACAGAATTGGTTAGAAAAATAGGTGAAAGGAAAAGTGGGAACTTAATTTTTTATCGATGTTTATTAATATTTTAGAATTTTATGATGATGATTATGAATGACTAAAGTTAAAATTTGTAATATAATAGATAGATATATAATTTATTTATAATTAATTTATTTATAGATATAATAATCGCCCATTGTTTTCTCATTGTGATTATTTCTTGTAATTATTTATATTTATAATAAGTTTACTATTGTAATCTTTTGGAGGAAACAATAAAGATAACATCTATCTATCTATCTATTTCATACGTAAAATTAGGCCTCCATCATCGACGTAGTCTAGGGGTCCAAAAACCTTAAACGTGACTTTGTTTCTTAAATAATTTTGCGACGTGCATCTTACCTACTGCAGTGGCCAATCTCTCAACGTACACTCCACAAAGTTAATAATATAATATCGCCATAGTCCCATAAAAATTATCACACTTCGTAAAAACAGCTACTTTAGCTGTTTTACAAAGAAAATTCTATAATTTAAATCCCTTATTATCTTTTTTCATGTGAGCGTCATTTCCACAGAATACCAGGACTGTGGCGATTAAATTATTCCCGCGCAAGTCGGCCCTACCTTGGCTTTTAATTATACTTTTTAATTAAAATTAAAAGTAATTAACGTTATCCTTCTTACTTTCTTAGCTGTTACAATGTTTAAGTAAGTCGAATAAATACTATCGAAATGCGAAGAATTTGCAATAAAAATCTGTTAGACTTCATTGTTCAGCATTTAAAATAAGTTGCTTATAGCTTTAAATGAAAACATAAATGTAATTAAGATAGTTTTTCACAAAAAAAAGTAGAGTTGAGCAGCAAAACCAGTTATTTTGATTTAAAACTAGATTACTAATTTTGAAAAAAATCCTATGGAATCGATCTGAAAGTACATCTTTTCAGATAAGAAAATAATTTTCCAAATCGGTTTATAATTTACGAAGAGTTATGAGATATAAACATAAAAAATACAACCGAATTGAGAAATTAATGATTTATTCCTGAGTCGCATCACAAGCTGGGTTACGCTGTCTGATATATTAAAACTTACTCTCTAATTTATATACACACGATTGCATGTGCGAGTATACACACACGCGCGCACACACATACACACACATCACAAGCTATATTAACTACATGATCTATTGAAACTTGCTATCTAATTTTCAGGTTATGCTTGCGGAACGTCGCGGTACTGATGAGCTATACGCAATTAAGATCCTGAAGAAGGATATTATCATTCAGGATGACGATGTTGAGTGTACCATGGTGGAGAAACGAGTATTGGCACTCAGCAGCAAGCCGCCGTTCCTTGTGCAACTGCATTCTTGCTTCCAAACTATGGTGAGAGCTTTATTCGAATGTTTCCCTACATTTAACGGTGGTATAAGGAGTGAGCGATATGGACCAACTACTGCTTCACGGTTTGAGAACATTGCGCCTTGCAGATATAATATATTGTTTTTTTTTTTTTTTTTTATTAGAATATTACAGTTCCATTTTTAAAACATTTGAAAAAAGTTTCCAAAGAATTTCGCGCAAAATGTATCTTACTCACATCCAATTTAGGTCTTGAACCGCTATTGCAGCAATCAATTATCTGGTCCTCAAGAACGGATAAAAATACCGTATTTTGAAAAACTAAGACAACTAAGATCTGGACTGGACGTTAATGAACACGAACACGGTGCTAATGTCGATGTGTCTCGATTCGCACTGCGGGCCACAGCTTGCAGAGCCCGTGAAGTCCTCGATACATGCGGGGACAATGGTGGTAGTAATGAAGTAGTGATGGCGCCTGTAGATGATGGTGTTTTTGCTGGAGATCAGTAATCATGTCTAGTACAGTTGTATTATAATTTTTTTACTATGTTGTAGTTACAACATAGTAAAAAAATTTTTTAATTTCGCGCTCGATATTTTATTTTGTATAATAATCGGAATTTAACGCCATCATTTAGGCAGACTATGGTAATTTACATGTGTATTGAAATCTGGTTATCCCTTCTCTTTTAAAATGTAATAAACTGGCGATCCGGAACGTCTTCATACGAGTAGATAGAATTTTCGGAATGAATATATAGCTTATCTTATTCGCTGATAATATAGCTTTCTATAGGTGAAAGTATGTTTAAAATCGTCTCAGCAGTTTTGGAGTTAATTTATTACAAACAAACCAACAAACTAACAAAAAATTAAAACTTACCTGTTCGTAATATTAGTTTAAATATGAATTTTAAATATAATATCCTTATCTTGAGAGTTGTAACGTACTGTGCAAATGGTCTGAGTTACTCAACAATTACACAGGTTTCTTGATTCTTAACAGCCCGCATTGATTGAAGAACCAATCGATTTCAGGACCGGCTTTATTTCGTCATGGAGTACGTGAATGGCGGTGATCTTATGTTCCAAATACAGCAGTGTGGAAAATTCAAGGAACCCGTAGCCGTGTAAGTTTAAATTCTTATTGTCTCAAGTTCATTTACATTCTGTTAAGTGACTTCTAAAAGTAGTAAGAATTCGATTCATCTAAATTTATTTTTGTACACGATATCATATTTTTGAGTGTTACACGCACACTCACACGCTCGCACGCACGCACATACGCACGTGCGTATGTGTATACGTTAACAATTGAAATTTTTTTATTCGGTTTGTTCTTTTTTTATTCTAATTTCAAATTTAAATAGTAATGTTTTTATATAATTGTGTAATCTTCATTTCTATGTTGTTTTGTCATATGTAACATGTATAATTTATATTATTTTTTTAAAGAGAGATTATATGTAATGAATGATATTATTAAAGTGAAAAGTTTGTTCAGTGTATGTATAAATAAATAAATATTGCCTTTTGCACAGAAAAAATGTTATTGCATTGATTCCACTGCCAATTGAGATAAGTTTATATAGTATGGACAAAAGACACGAACAACTGTTCGTATCTATATTCAATGTCTACGATTTACCATTAGGACTATCTGAATTTTACCATTTCCTGTGGCATAAACAAAAGTATTCTATGGTATAAAATACTGAAAGAGGTTGGATGCTCCGTTCTAAGAATCTAATTTTTATTCAAAGGTTTTACGCATCGGAAATTGCCATCGGACTGTTCTTTCTGCATTCCCGCGGGATCGTCTACAGAGACTTGAAGCTTGATAACGTACTTCTAGACCAAGATGGGCATATAAAAATCGCTGATTTCGGCATGTGCAAAGAAGGGATCACGGGCGACAAAACAACTAAGACCTTCTGCGGCACACCGGATTATATTGCACCGGAGATCATCTTATACCAGCCGTATGGGAAATCCGTGGACTGGTGGGCCTATGGTGTTCTGCTTTATGAGATGCTGGTCGGACAGCCGCCGTTCGATGGGGAAGACGAGGAAGAATTGTTTGCAGCTATCACGGATAACAGTGTGTCCTATCCGAAAACATTGAGTAAGGCAAGTGTATATTTTTTGTTAGTAGGTCTTTTGTATTTTTCTCTTCGAACTATCAACTTAGTAGATACCGAAAATTTTCTTGTCAATACTTATTTATAAACGACTTTAAAAAAGCTGATATTAAATTCTATTTATTTATTTATTTTTTTGTTACACGTTATCTTTGCCAATTGTGAACACCAAAAAAAAAATACTTTCAAATATTATTCAATTGACTTCAATATGGAAGTTCTAAATTATTTCATTATGAGATATCCTTCCTAATTACAAACAGCTCTCCATGGTTATTTTTTCAACCGAAATTGTTTACCCTTATATTAGTTTACCATTTTTTTTTCTTGTTGCAGAAATTATAAAAATTTAAGAAATATATGATATTTATTAGATTTTTCATACTATGCTTCTATTAATATTATTATTACAAATTTGCAGGAAGCCAAAGACGCGTGCAAAGCGTTCCTAACCAAAAATCCTCAGAAGCGTTTGGGTTGCGGCGCGCGCGGCGAAGAGGACGTCCGCACTCATCCGTTCTTCCGTCGCATCGACTGGGCGCGCATCGAGGCTCGAGACGTGCAACCACCTTTCAAACCTAAGATCGTAAGTAGACTGCCTTACAACAAATCAACTAGCCTTATAACCAATCAACTTTTTTTTTTATACAACTTAGAATGGCAAACAAGGTGACGACCCACCTGATGGAAAGTGGTAACTGCAGCCTATAGACATGAACAGTACCATGGACATAAAAGAGTATACTCTTTCGCCCATGATACCCATCAAGTGTTGCCATTCTTGAGAATTCAGGTGTTACTCCTCTGTACCCTGTAAATTCACGCCATATCCCACCCTTCAAACCGAAACACAGCCATGCAAACACAACTGCCTTATAGTCTGCATTAGAATAAAAACTTACAACCGACTAAGCGACCAACTTGCCTTACAAATAACAACATAACAACCAAAGAACTAATCTATTTTACAATTAACTATCCGACACAGTGACGTAACAATAGGGTGGCAGAGCTGGCAAAACGCTATAGGCCCCCGACCCAAAAAGGCCCCAGCTCAAGAGGCCGCGAGCTCAGAAATATATATATATATATATACATTGTACCTGAGTAGTGTTTTATTTTACTTGAATAGTTTTTTTTTTTACTGATAGCGCCCCATCAAAAGAATTTGCTACAGGCCCCAAATGGTATAGTTACGCCACTGATCCGATATGCCTTACAACCAACTAACTAATCAGTCAATCTGTCTTCAATCAATCAATAGTCCCCCCACTCCTCCCTAAAATATCACCAAAACCTAACTGTGGTTGCCAACCCGGCTGCCAAGCGTAGTAACTATTGCCAAAACTCCCCCAATAGAGATGTTCTGAAGTTGACCTGATAAAGTATATTAATAGCAATAGGGATTAATCTCCCCATTACTAACAATCCCTTCCTCCCATTTGGATTAATTTAAACATCTGTGTCTGAACTAGGTTATAAAACCTGTATCTCGGACAACTGCGCTCAACCCTCATTAGATAATACAATATTAGCTCAGCAAAGTTTTTAGTGCTACATATAAAATGTTGATTTTAAATAAAGTTATTTCATGTAATTATAACTATTAGTAGTAATGAAAATTGTGAAAAAAATTGTAGTGTCTTATTACCTATTTTAATTTCAGAAACACCGTAAAGATGTGTCGAACTTCGACAAGCAGTTCACCCAGGAGAAGACCGAGCTGACGCCCACCGACAAGCTGTTCATGATGAACCTCGACCAAACCGAGTTCATGGGCTTCTCGTTCCTCAACCCGGAGTACGTGCAGCACGTGTGAACCAAGAAGGTGGGTCGATTCTTCGTAATACGTCGTGCAATAATTAACTAACTGATTTATTATTGTCTTATTATTTTTATACTTAACTAATTACAGTGAAACTTGGGCAAATAAGACCTAAATAAATGAGAAACCTCCGTAACTAGAACTCATGCTGAGGCCCCAACACTATGACACTGAATTACCTCTGTTAGTGTGACGAAGCAAACCTCTATATCCGGAATTCGTTCTTTCGGGAGAATTATTCCTCTGTACCCAGTAAATTCGCCATATACCCTTCAAACCGAAACACGGTTGGGAAATACAACTGCTTCACGGTTGAAACACGAATGAGTGGATGTACCCAAGCAATCAACTTTTGTACAAAGTCTCCCTCTGGTATATACTATCATACAGATGTTTATTTGAAAAATACTGAAATGAAGGCTCAAATCGTTATCAGTACATAAAAAACTGAAGTTAATATCCGTTTATCCATGGAACACCCATAATAAATATCGGTGATTAATATTATTGTAATTACCCTCTTATATATGAGACAGATATTTATTTATACCTGGATATCTGAGACTCTGAGTAAAGTGGAATACCTCCATAAGTGAGACAAATTTACAGGTCCTTTAATGTCTCACTTAACCAGGTTTCACTATATTTAATTGAATATTAATTAATTATATATAATCTGTAATTATCAACTTCATAGCCCATCGGTTACCCACTACCAAACATAAGTCTTCCTATACCAGAGGGAGACTTTGTACAAAAGTCGATTGCTTGGGTACCTCTGTCCCATTCGTGTTTTAACCGCGAAGCAGTGGTGTTTGCATGGCTGTGTTTCGGTTTGAAGGGTGAGATATAGCGTAAATTTACTGAGTACAGAGGAGTAACACCTGAGTCCACAGGAATGGCAACGCATGGGGGTATCATGGGCGAAACAGTATACTCTGTTATGTCCATGGTACTGCTCATGTCTATAGGCGACGGTTACCACTTTCCTTCAGGTGGACCGTCAGCTTGTTTGCCTTTCTAAATTACTACTTAAAAAAAAATATTTCATCACAAAGTGGTCTCGCGTTACTACATCAATTGATTCCCTGCAATGCTTTTAAGATCCTCACTCCACTCCGTGGGAGTTCACGTGAAACTCGACCTAATATTGTTAGCAATGGATCAGTAATTCCTATTATTAACAATCCTCCTTTATGTGTGTGTGTGCGTGTGTGCGTGCGTGCGTGCGTGCGTGCGCGTGTACGTGTGCGTGTACAAGTGCGTGTATGTTTGGCAATTCATTTCGTAATCAATAGGTTTACCCATATTGGACTCATATGTCCCATTTAATTTATTGTGCAATATATCATAAATTATTTGTAAGTCTGGGTTTGAACAGTATATGAAATTAGTTAAGTCGTGACGTCCACTTATTTTTTTGTTCTCAACTATATATTTTTTTCACAGGGTTGAATCATACTTCTCACGTCATTGGAGCTGACTAGGCGCTCGGGTCTTGTATCGACTCCGAAGCGCGAACTCTTCTTCATCTGTCGACTGTCTCTGTCACTCATACGACATTGGTCGTAAGCTATCTCGTTCATACTCGGCTGTAAACTATGTTAAGTTCGAATGTTAAGATCTATAACTAAAGTTTATCTTGTGAATGGGGATATATGAACAATTGGGAGCAGACTTTGACACCACTTTTGTAGAGGATAAATATATGAAGTGATATTATTGAAGGAAGAAATGCTCATTCCCTAATTTTTAAGTTTCCTTTCTTCCAAACCTTTAATACTTCGTATCCATCCAATACGACATGACTTTAAACTCGTATTAATATATTATTTTTTTTTTAATTTATTTATTATTAATTTAACTGCAATAATGTTGCAATTAGATATTTCAACGAATTTTTCAAAGCAATAATATGTACTAATATAGTTATGTTACTTAATACGCTCTCTACTCATAATCTCGATTTCGTTTGACTTTAATATTCCTTAGACTATTTACGTGGATAATAAAAAAAAAAATATATAACGTGTCTTACAGAAAATATGGCTAAAGGTTTAATATGCATAGAAAACTAAACCCAAAAAAATGAGACAAAATGTGGATTTGAAATACTTTAGGCAGTATTTTTATTTACATAAATATTTCTTCTGAGTTAGTAAAATGTATGCAATATTCCTGGTATGGCAGATGTCGGTAGGTAACCGTTTACTTGTTATATTATATTAGACAGTCGTTTGCTTGTTTGACGTCTTAATATTATAAAAAATGTTATTTCTTAAATACTTGGAAATAAAACATTGCCGAAATATGATGAAAGATATCTGTCTATGCTTATTAAATCTTTGACTTTATGTACTGTTTATTTATACCGTTTGGGTACTTTAATATATTATTTCTTTTGAGAGAAATTCGACGCGTTTTCACTAATGTTTATCATGATCTTGGGGCCACGGTATATAGTGAAATTAGGATCGTTTACACTGGTAAAGTCTGACTTGTCAATGTTTTATGCCTTCACGGTAACGAGGCGCTTGAAGGCGTTTTGATATTTTAGTGTGATGAACGCTGTTTCGTTGTTTCTCATCTCTCACATATCAGTGTTGATTGTAAATAAATTAATTAACTCTATGTCGTGTCGTGTGGATGGCGGTGTTCGTTAGACATTTCTTAATGTAAGTTTCATAGATAAACTCGTTTTTTTTTTTAATTAAATTCATAAAGCTCACAGCGATTAGAATCTCTGGACCATATGCTTTTGTTTTGTATTACATTCTTAGCGTTATATTTATAATTTATCCACTTATAAAATTATTTGATATAAGCATTTTTTTTAATTATGACCAAAATAATATACATATTATAATTCATAGAATGGCCATAAAAGTTTGTATTATTAAGTTTTCATTGTCTATGATTGATATTGTTGTTATTTTGTTATGTATTTTTATAATGATCACTCTAATTAGTGATTGTATTTTGTGATGTATTGATCTAATCATCTATTGGTTTTGTATGTGTATTCACTTACATTGTACCTATTGTGTATGTGTGTGTGTGTGTGTATGTGTGTGTGTGTATGTGTGTGTGTGTGTGTGTGTGTGTGTGTGTGTGTGTGTGTGTGTGTGTGTGTGTATGTGTGTGTGTGTGTGTGTGTGTTGATGTTTTATGCGTGTGTTTTTTATTCAATCGCGATTTGTGGTCGTAATAGACGGGATTAGAAATTATAAACACCACTGTTAGATTATAATTCAAAGAATATTAACATTCGCTCAAACGAGCATCGAGACGTTAACGGCGTAATTACAAAATCAAATGCTATATCTGTCTCTTTCTCTCTTATTACATCGTACAAAGATTTGCGTTTCGTATGAATAAGCTGATTTGTAATAAGTAATCGCTGACATCAGGCGTAAGACAAGTCGATACTAACGCATAACGGATGAAAGCACTCATATTCTAAATTTATTTTGGTTAGTACGACTCTGATGCTTTATTGCTGATTCGCCACTATACTGAGTTTAATTAATTAGTTTTTAGACTTATTTTTTTCCCTCGATTTTATGTAAACAATACTAGTCAGTGCTCAGCGCCAGTACTGACGCGAGTAACTAACTGGATGTAAATCTACCCTATTAATACGTTATATAATTTAAAATATCGTATTATATTATACTAATACCGTCTACTACCACCATGCTTTTAGCAGCTAACAGCTGACAATCGTCTACTTAATAGCCTTACTAACTTAATTAATAATATGGCTAATAAAATACAATTTAAAAGTTGTTTAAATCTCTTACTAGATTAAATCAATGTGAATTTAAAAAGAGAAAAGCATTTGATTCTAAATTGAATTGTAATAAAATGACATTTTAGGTGTTTTAATTTTTTTTTTATATTATACATATGTATAAGGCTTTTTATCTTTTTCGGAGATGTTACGGAAATGTCCTGGGAAAGAGAGATTTAGTGACACCTTCCGTTGTTTGTGGTCGTGTGTCTATAATTCTAACGACACAGCTTCGTATAGTGTATACGTGGTATTATAGTAATTATTAAGTTTTCAATTCTTTATTAGATATAAGCGATAATTTAAGGGTATCACGCTGGCTCATTTTCATTACAATTAATTGCAGTTTTTAGCTATTCAGTATTAAAACGGGTTTTTTTTTTATATATATATATATATATATATATATATATATATATATATATATATATATATATATATATATATGTATATATATATATATATTTATTTATTTATTTATTTTAATAAAAGCAGTATTTTCTGCAATTAGTTTTGCTTTAAGATAAATGATATTGATTGTAAATGTTCAAATACATTTTAATTGTTTAAATTATGAAAGTATTAAATTTATCAAATAATGGAAAACGGATAAACGGGTACGGTTTTTTTTCCTGTAGTACAGCGCCATCTGTCGCACGTTATATTATATACCGCTTTATTTGTAAAATACAATTCCTAAAAACATTAATGACTTATTTTTAGCTTATCTTTTTGTCTCTCTCTTTCAATCTATACATCTAATTTGTAAGACAGTGACAAAGCACTGATATTATATTAAAAAAGTAAAATACGTTTATTTGAAATTTTACGTTTTTCTGAATAAAACGGTTATATCGTCTATATATGTATATATTCACATCCATGTTTTTGACAAACTATTATATTTAAGATTACATAACGTTTTACTTTTAAAATAAACTGCTTATTAAATATTTAATAATTGTAACTTTATATAGTACGAAAGACAACTTTTATTCGTATACAAGTATTAAAAATATCGGAGTTGTGTGAGCGAGACGGCGATATAAGTTAGAATAGAAGGTAGGACGTAAAGGGTCTTTCACACTCCATAAAGTTTCAAATGCAACAAAATATATTTGGACAGTGTCGAAACGAGTTTTTGTTTCACTGTTTTGTGTTAAGCATATAAATGGAATTCTGTTGGTATTCTGAAAAAAATAACGATCAAGAATTTAAAGTGTGAATGAAATAGTATTATTATAGGTTTATACACGTAGTACCAAGAAAATGGGCCGGCATTATAGGATAAATCAGCTGGAGAGGGAGTCAATGTAGCGAGCGCTTATAGCGTCACCCCACACCCGTGCGCACTTCTCCCGCCCGTGCTCTGTGCTTACATGTGCAATGTATACGTGACCAATTATATATACAGGGTGATTTGAAAACCTTTAGCATCCTCTTAAGGTAGTGTACTATCAAAGAAATTAAAGATTAAAAAAAAAACAATAATGCTCGAAAAATGACAAAGGAATTTGAACCTACATACTAATAGCTGTACGGATTACGTTAATGTAGCCCAAGAGGGCCTACCATGAAATATTTTCCGAAATTTCGGGCACGAACGAAACGGAAATTTGATGTTAAAATTACATAATACATGGCGTTTAAAATTATTAAAAATGTTAAGATATCGTTCCTCTGGACTATTAGGATAGGATTTATGATGAACGAAATGTTAAGCTCCATTTACTGGGTCGATTTCGGTGGGAACAAAAACACGAAATTGAATCAGAAATTTCGGAAATTCATTTCATTGTAGACCACAAGATTTTTAATAATTTTTCGACCCATATTTCTTTGAGAAAAAATTATAATTATTAGTAGCACACTATCTTAAAACTTTTTCAATTACATCCTGTATGTATATCGAAAAGTAAGGTCCAGTTTTGACTTTCAATTTTTCAATTGGTAAAAAATTAATTACATAAAGGTGAACATACACTGATCTGCGCCCAAGGTGATTTCTAGTAGTTTTTCACCGCGTATAATGAATGGTCCGCTCAACGCCGATGAAACGATTAATTCATTTTTAAGTACACAGCGGGTATTCTATCAAGTTATAAATTAAAGAATTAGCTGGAATCCTTCTAGTTAATTCCTCAGTCAGCATATAACCACAATATAAGCAATAACCAGTGATCCAACGCCATTTCAAAGCGTGTTGTTCTGACAAGACGTATCGATAACTAGTGCATACTTGCCACATTTCAGTGCTGATAAGGGCGTGTTCACCATAACGTCACATCTGTAAGTTCTCTATTCAGTAATGGAGAAGAATAATTATTGTCACAAAGAAAAATCATTGCGCTTGTAATGCATGTGCGTTAATTGCACTCTCCCAATTAATATATAACTTAATACACTGTTAATAATGTCGAGTTTTCAATAACAAAAAAATAATGACCGATAGGTACAATAGTTCCTATAGGTATATTGGTATACTTATATATCAAATATTAATGAAAAACTAACGTAAACTTTGAACAGTGCTAGTAAAAAACCTAAGCCTGTTGCTATAATCAATTTATTCAATCTCGAAACATAGGTAAATTGTACTCTACCTAAAGTATAGATTTAGCAGAGAAACAGGTCTTTTATAATGTCAACGTATTAATATATATTTAAAACAAATATGACTCGACTAAAATTTCCTGTTTGATTCGTAGATGTTTCACTTGGCAATATAATTATATTGTATTATAAATAAGTTAGATCATTATTATATATTTTATCTTTTTTTAATCTATTATATTACAGGTTATAAGACATACTTACAAATCGGAAAAAAATGGATCCCTTAATATTTAAGTAGAAGTGTTGTCACTATTAAAAATTACTAACTCTAGTGAGTCCATTTATCTAAAGATTGGCGGCGGCGCAAATTTAATCCTCTATAGGCAAATTATAAAATATAAATTCCCATGGCACTGACAGTGACTCATTAGGGTTGTAAAACGCAGTGGATTTCCGTTTAGACTCTCAACTGTAAGTAGCAAAATTTCATTTGTTTACTAATAAATTAGTGTCTGCTAGCTTTTGCCTTGACATCTTTAATTTTACTATGACTTGGTCAGTTTAGGTAATAGTTGAAGTTTATAAAACTTGTAGTCGTATTGTATTTAACCATTATAATCATGTATTAATAAGATCTCACTTGTAAATAAGCAGCCATATTGTTCATTTAACTATAGGTATTTTAGTACTCGTTACTTGGAGATAATTCGAGCGAAGTTGCGCTTTCTATACAGCTTTTTTTGCTTTCAACGCTTATTTTTTGTGTTGCGAATTTACAAACTCGTTGTTTGAATTAGATATTCATAATATTGAACACTGGAAGTCAAGCAGAAAGTTTTATAAGTGAAATAATTCAATCATTATTTCTCAAATATAATTTTTTTTGTCATATTTTACGGAAAAGGGTTTTTTTTAAAGTTAGTTTCAAATTTGAATATTTAAGACGGTTACTGTTGGAACTTATTATTTCTGCCAAAGTATAAGGACAAAATATAACCCTGTCGAGGTTATCCCAAGAGACTACAGCATGGGGTTCTTCAAGAGGGGGGTAAAGAGGTTTCTTCAGGGTCGGCAACGCGCGCGTAATACCTCTGGTATTGCAGGTGTTCCATCAGGTGGGCCGTATGCTTGTTTGCCACCTTAGTGGTATAAAAAAAGCAGTTAGAGCAGAAAGTATAATTTACACAATAACTGTACTTATACATTGACAGAAAGTATAAATAAGTTTATTCATATTCTCTGCCTATGTATAAGACTTTATTTGTGCCCTGGCAGAAACTAGGTAAAATTGAGCAAAAGGAAAATGTAATGAATTACGCCACTCGCGTAGAATATTCTGAATGTCTAATCCATTAGTGGATTACTATTTTAAATTATTAAACATAATATTTAATACCAATAGTTACGGTATGTGTTCAGTGAGAATTAGTTGATAAATTAATCATGATATTATTTAGTATAAAATAAAACATTATTATTATTATGTTGCTCTTCCCAAGCTGTTGTTTTCTACTTCCATATTTTAAAGACAAATTGTCGTAATTATTTAAAGTGTCACATACCTAATTGGAAAGTAGGTTAACAGTGAGAGCCCGTGTAAATTATAGTCAAGACTATTCATAGAAATATTGAGATGAGAGCCTGCATATGCATATGGTGGAATCGAAAACATTAGGCTCCTTTTAAGGGAGTGTTCTATTAGAATTTGAATTTTCTATTAAAATTTTTCAAAAAAAGAACACATCGTAAACTATAAAATTGCAAAGCTTCCTATACTAGTTTGACAAAGGAATTATGTATAGAACGCTTAACATTTTTTGTCGTATTTCGAAACGTGTCTAAAAAATATTCTGTTTCATGGATAGAACACTTAAAGGGTGCTAATAATTTCGACTTCACCCCACACAGGCCAATAGTTAAGTCTTGTCAATAATGTCCACAAACTCTAAATGCATTTCAAAAATTAAATTCGTGGCTCTATAATTATAAATTAAGTCGTTTAGTAAAAATTATAATATATAATATGAAAGTAATGGAATATGTAATCATTATGTAATCATGTTACCAATAGATATTATATAAACGTAGGCGGGTTGATGTTCTGTATTAAATTAATAAATATATATATATATATATACATATACATATATATAGTTTTTAAAAATTACGTATTTCTTGTATATTGTTAATAATCGGAGTCACAAACGTTACACATGTACCTAATTAACTCTTCAATGCCAATAAAGTATTGCGACGCCCCAAATAAATGTGTATTTGTTAATTTTAGAGTACTCTAGAGCCACGAACTTAATGTATCACTTAGAGCCGCTAAGCTACTACACCGATGACCTGAGAGCCACAAGTCATTGGAGTGGTTACTTTAGCATCTCTCTTGCACTCTCGACGTTAATATTTTATAAATAATTCTCATAAAAATATAGGCCTAAATGTCACCCTTTCTACATAGATTAAGCCCGTAGTTGATACAGGTCTTAGTATATACATTTTATTAAATATTTTACTAATATTTGAACGTGTTTAAAATTTAACATTGACTATGTTATGTCAATATGCACCATCACCTGTGCCAAAATGTATTTGTAAATATTTTTCCAAATATAAAATTAGTCTATTTAATATTATATAATAACCAGTAATTTTTATCTTTCCAATGATTTCCTGATCTGTTCACATATTACTAGTAAGTAGATTCATTTTACGTACTTTGTGCTCATAAAATCTGACTTAGCAGAGAGAGTTAGAAAAAACGCGAAGAATAAATTTAAATCATATTTTAAAACAATAATTAAATTGTAAAATTTTATATAATTGACAAATTTCTTATCAGCTGCTAGTAATATGTCAATACGATATTGCCACAGCTAATAAAAAAAAATTGCACGTTTTTCTGTTAGGTTAAAACAAAAAAAAAACGCTAGTTGTAAGATAATATTCTGAACAGTCTTAATAAGCGCATATTTTATTTCAGTAATCTATTTATATCAATGAGTGTATTATTTCTTAAGTTTCATGTCAGTAAGACCAAATATTTTGACTTAATATGCAAATTATTGGAAATATCGGAATATCTACTAGTATTTTTTAATATTTATATGACTGTATCCACGTTTGTACTTTATATATTTTCACGTCACAACTGTCTCTGTGATATATCATCCTTTCACGGACTGTGCAGGCGATTTTTAAGTGTTCACATTAGTTAATTTATAATGTTTTTTTTTTCTTTTTACTTATGTTTTCAACATGCGTGCAATGGAAATAATAATGGTCTTTACAAATAAAATAAATACACTTAATTAAGGTGGACATAATAATCATGATCGATCGCTTCTTAAAACACTTATTTACTGTATTGACACAATTTATTATAGTACTATCTCTCATACATAGACATCAATGATCTAGGTTAGGGACCTACAAAGTCCTCCCTCCTGATACAATGTGCCTACTAGGCACGTTTATATTAGACGTCTTTGTTTGATAGATAAGTAATAAAAAAATATAATTTGGCGGGAAAACAATTTTTTAATCAGTTTTATTAAAATGTTGCCAGTTTGAAAATTATTAATTTAATGTTTTTTTTTTAAATGTGATCAATGTGCCAAATATATTATATAAAAAAAAAGAATTAAAAATCGTCTGCGCAAATTTTTAAATGTTCAAAGTGCACTTTACGTTAAAATTACCGTCGTCGCCTCTCACTAGGTTTAAAATTATTAAAATTATAAAGTTTTCAATTTCAACCAATTAAGATGTAAAAATTATGTGCGGAAATTTTATTATTTGAAATCATTTGAAAAATATAAAAAATTCTGCACATAATGTATCATATTTATGAGATTTTATTGCATATTATTATAGTGTAGAGCAGTATTTCGATTCGTAGCATTTCATTAGTCATTTTCAAATGTAAAGTTGTCATTTCGGAGGTCACGAAGGTAACTGAAGACGGTGTGACACAGTAGATCTGTCGGTAAGGTCTCGAATTGTATGGAGTTTTGTCGAATGTGAATGTCGATTGTACTCAACAATATAAATTTCTAATCCATTAGATTTATGTGTTTTATTTTCTCATTCATATCTTAAACAAACCAATGAGTTTAATTTATTTAGTTTAATTTTTTTTTCTTTTTTTTTTACAACTTAGAATGGCAAACAAGCTGACGGCCCACTTGATGTAAAGTGGTAACCGTCGCCTATAGACATGAGCAGTACCATGGACATAACAGAGTATGCTGTTTCGCCCATGATAATCCCCATGCGTTGCCATTTCTGAGGACTCAGGTTTTATTCCTCTGTACCCTGTAAATTCACGCCATATCCCATCCTTCAAACCGAAACACAGCCATGCAAACACAACTGCTTCACGGTAGAAACACGAATGGGATAGAGGTACCTAAGCAATCAACTTTTGTACAAAGTCTCCCTCTGATAAATAAATAAAAATAAATATATTCACGACTGTAATGCTTAATGTGTAGTCAGAGAGATGTATATAAAGTCTTTATGGTGAGCGCAACAACGTAATGTACACATATTATGTATACAGGTACAGTTTAATACGAATCACAGCGCCATCTAGTCCAAGATTAAGCAGACTAACCATTGTTAATATAGACATTAGATAAAAAAAAATAATTCTTAAAATAAAAATGCCTAAAAGCTCAGTCCAGTATAAACATTGAATACAAATGTATTGCGCGTGGTCAAACCCTATAAATTACCAAGGTCGTTTCATAATTGAATAAAATTACTAGTTTCCAAGCTAACCCAGTTAGAAAAAATGTTTTAATTGCTAACCAATGACTACTTTGACAATTACTTCAAGTGATATTAGAGCCTATACTGCGACACCATTTTTCTAAACCTAATGTTTAATTTTATAATTTCACGTAACTGCTGTTTAAATAATATTTATATAATAATATTTAATAAATATAAAATAAATTAAACTTTAATTTTTTTTTCTTCTAAAATTATAATAATTTTCAAATTAATAGGAAATTATATCACACCTTACAATGTCGTTGTGATATATCGAAATTAGAATTTTAGATATAGGATTAAAGTAATGATGCATCAGAATCGACCCCATAGAACGAATAGATATTACTTTACAAAATAAAATCGACTTCAATTATTCGATATTTAATGGTAAAACCATTGATTTTGATTTAGACACCAAACTATTCAGTCATTTGAATGAAATTTCTATGAAACTAATATGAAATTTTTTCCAAATACAAAAAAACAATATTCCATATCGGTTTATAATCAATTTCCAAGGTAACAAACATAAATAAGCAATCATCTTTTTTTAAAGTATATTAAAACGGCTTTACTTATTAAATTACCGATCGAATCAAATATTTTGTGTTTTTAAGCAATTTATGTAATTTGCAAGTTTATAAAGTTAGGGCTTATTTATACTTATAAATGTAATAATCTGGGGGGAAAGGGATTGTTAGTAATTAGTTTTAACTGCCCCATTGCTAGCAATATATCCTAACAGGTCGCCCTGGAAACCACCGTGGTTAATTCTAGTGGAATTATCACGATGGGCTAACTGACCTGCCTTTTCTTCCTCAATCATTCCTCACTGGTGCCCTGCCAGTGTATACCGATAGCGCGATCAGGGTTGCCATTTCATTATCATTCATTAAAAAAAATGTAATAATCCATAGGTAAAGATGCAATAATCACTTAAAGGGGGCCGTACATGAACTTATCTATTAATAAACACATATTTATTTGTGAGTAAAACAATTTGTACTAAATATATTATATACAGAATTGTTAATGTTACAAAACATGTGATTTAAAGTTTTATTTCGGTCTCGCCCCTCATCACTTGACTCAACATTTGATTACACAAGGCTGCGTATGGATTCATTTCTACCACCTGAAAATTAAAAATATAAGTATGTACTTGTAAGCGGGAAGAGAGGGACTACCAGTGCTATTGTTAGCAATATATTCTTTTTTTTATACAACTTAGAATGGCAAACAAGCTGACGGCCCACCTGATGGAAAGTGGTAACCGTCGCCTATAGACATGAGCAGCACCATGGATATAACAGAGTATACTGTTTCGCCCATGATACCCCCCCATGCGTTGCCATTCCTGAGGACTCAGGTACAGAGGAATAACCCTCTGTACCCAGTAAATTCACGCCATATCCCACCCTTCAAACCGAAATACAGCCATGCAAACACAACTGCTTCACGGTAGAAACACGAATGGGACAGAGGTACCCAACCAATCGACTTTTGTACAAAGTCTCCCTCTGGTAAAATATATCCTGCCAACTCTACCTCTACATGGTCCTCACTAGAAACCATCGTGCTGAATTCCATATGTATTCATCACGATGGGCATCACGATGCCCCGCCAGCGTATATCATTAGAACAGACGGGTTACTATTCCATTATCATACATTAACAATCTCTGGAAACTATCATGGTTAATTCTTGTTGTCTCGATAAGCCAACTGCAGTCAGTTAGTGTGCATCATCACCTACCATCCTTCGCTAGAGTTCCGCCAGCGTATAACAATAGCGCAGACGGAGTTATTCCATCCTAACCCTAAGAAAGCGAAGGGCAAGAGATTGTTACCAATTGGGAGGTTAGTCCCCATATAATATATCCTATCAGGTCGACCTCCATGCGGTTCTCCCTGGAAACCATCATGACAAATTTATGGTTGAATTCGTCACGATGGGCTAACTGACCTGCCTTTTCATTCTCACCTATCATCCCTCACTGGTGCCCCACCAGCGTATACAATTAGAACAGGCAGGGTTACCATTCCATTATCATTCATTAAAAAAAAACCCTAACAAAGCGGGGGGGAAAGTGATTCTTAGTAATGAGATTTAATAGCCCCATTGCTAGTAATACACCCTATCGGGTCGACCTCCTCGCGGTTCCCCTTGGAAACCATCGTGGCTGATTAATTAGTAAATTTGTCACGATAGGCTGACTGACCTGCTTCATTCTCCTTGATGTCCCGCCGGTGTATACCGATAACGCAGACGAGGTTAGCATTCCATTATTATCTATTAAAAAAAAAAACATAAGAAAGCATTCAAACCTGTTTCTTAGCAAACCCGCTGCCAAGTTTAGCGGCCTCGGTGAAGGACGCACGCGCCGAGTCTCCCTCGTCACGTTTCCGTAACAGCACCCCGCGTTGGCACAGCGCCAAAGCGCGTGCGCGGCCCTTTCGCCCCTCCGTCAGTTGTAAAGCCTTATCGAGGTCGGCCATTGCATCTGAAAAATTTATAAACCTAAGTTGATAGATACTCTTTGTTGTTTCCTCCAAAAGATTACAATAGTAAACTTATTATGAATATAAACAATTACAAGAAGTAAACACAATGAGAAAACAATGGGCGACCTTATCGCTAAGAGCGATCTCTTCCAAGCAACCTTTGAATGGAGAGGAGTAATTATAAACATTTTGATCGGAGGCACGATGAAATTCTATTATTTCTTAAATAAAGAGATGTGATACATGTATATATGTAAGTATATCATATTACACGATATGTATGTATGTGTTTACGAGCCTTAGCGTGTAGCTCTTTGAAAGCTTTCATACCAATACGTTTGCCACGTAATAATAATAATAATAAATATTTTTTATTCAAGTATATCAATAATAAGCATTTTTGAATAGTCATTTTTTTATAAACTACCGCCCAATTAAGAATGCAATTTCAGCACAGAAGAACGGGCAAGAAACACAGCTGTCGCTTTTTTCAAATGTAAGTTTACAACAAAAGAATTGTAAATGGATAAAGTGACTATCACAAACGTCGTATTTATAATGAAAAGAAAGTAAAAAGCTACGTAAATATTGGAATAATCTGTCAATTATCAAAAACTGTTGAAGGTTTATTAAGTTTCGTATATCGTTCATATTACACCAGAGACCATTACTGTGTCACGGCCGCTCATGATTAAGTGTCCGAATGGTCCCGAAACTAGTCGAGCATTCTCAACTAAAATACATGTAACTTAATCCGGGTGTTCTCACATTAAAATATAATTAAAGGATTTTCAATAATTTCGACTGAACTCAGAAATACATCTGTGAGAACCGCTTTTAATTTGAAGCAGTCATTTTTGTGTGATGCCGGAACAAACATATAGACAGTCAGACATACAAAACTTTTAAAAAATATTGTTTTGGTTTTGTCTCGATCTTACATATTAAAACCCCTCATATTATAATATTTTTTCTTTAATATACTCCCATATATAAACATTGTCTAGTTACAATTATATTTACTCGTATTAGCGTTATAAGATATATAAATTTATTGAATTTAATATTTTTATCATTAAAATTTTAAAATTAAAATATACAAATAAAAGATAATTTTTGTAACACGTGGTTGTAATCAGAAATTTAAAAGCACGTCGAGTGATACCTCTGACTAGCCTATCAAGGATTACAGTTGTGACCGTATTTTTTTTTTATTAAATTATAATGGCAAAGTCGTACGATATTCAGCCGTATTACATTAAATTATAATGCAACCTCTACAGTGATTATTCGCAATGATTTATTTTACTGAATTATTTTATATGAATGATTAGATTTATTTTTTTAATGGTAGCGGAACTAAACAAAATAACTCTAATCAAATAACTATTTGTAGAGGTCGAATGTCTGGATATAGAAAAAAAAATGCTAAAAACCGATTCAGGGGAATGTTAGAAGTGAAATAGAACACGTACAGATTTTTTAAAATTTTGTTTCTCTATATGTTTCTAATCTCCGAAACTGTTGAACTGATTTAAATGAAATTTTACGTAACCTTACATCCCCGGTCAACATTAGAAAGTTTAATCACGGAAAATTCCCGTAGAATAGTTAAAAAACTATAGTGACTTACACGGCTTAATACATAACCTACATAAGTAAAGTCATTTTGACCTAAGACAAAGAGTGAGAATGACATGTCATTTATTAATTTTGGTTTTTTTTAACGACTTAGAATGGCAAACAAGCTGACGGCCCACCTGATGTTAAATGGTAACGGTCGCCTATAGACATGAGCAGTACCGTGGACATAACAGTACACACACATACTATTTCGCCCATGATACCCCCCATGCGTTGCCATTCCTGAGGATTCGGGTGTTATTCCTCTGTACCCAGTAAATTCACGTCATATCCCACCCTTCAAACCGAAACAAAGCCATGCAAACACAACTGCTTCACAAAGTCTCGGGCATCAGTTAGTTCATAATAAATCTTATAATTTACCGTCATCTCTGTTCATGAGTCGCAACAGCTGCGCCCTGTCGTTGTAGGCGGCGGCACGCCCTGGTGCCACTTCGATTCCTTTCGTAAGAACTTGCAATGCCTCTTCAAACTTGCCAGCCTCTGCTAGTTGAACGCCTTCAGCGCAAAACTTGGATGATTCCTTCTGAGCATCATTTGATGGCTCTACGAAGTAAACTTGTTACAGAGTAATGATGGAAAAATACGATAAGTTATGTAGATGTATTATGCTAATCGGTGACTTGAATATTGTAATTATCGACGTAGCTGCTTGTTTGATTTGTTTGACATTTCTATAAGCAATACCTAATGCAAAATTGATAAATATGTAGTCCTCTATGGGCATGGACAGATAATGACTATTAAACTGATGTTGATGATCTATGTATATTTTGTTCTATATAGCCAATTGGTCATAATTACTGAGAAACTGGCGGAAATTATATTATTAATTAATTATATATATACAAATCGTTCTTCTTTATAATATTGGTATAGAACAGTGAAATCAAGTGACGGACTAAGCGCTTCAGAGCTCGGCAAAGCTGAATAAGGGCCCCATTTTAAGAAATCAATATAACTTTACAAGCTTTTTAATAAGTACACATTTGTAAATATAAGTGTTTAAGTATTATTTCAAATCATGCATGTAAAATTAAACTTAAATAAAAATACATAGAATATGGATATAAATGAGGAAACTGGAAACGTTTGGAGATCTCCAAGACCGGCGGCCTGGTGCGAGCTGTCCATCCGCCCCCTATTCCGTTAGTCCGCCACTGGGTGAAACATTTCAGTCTTTAGAACTCTACCTCTTGTGTAGTATAATATTATACGCACATCGCTGTGTATACAGACTATCACACGTACATACCGTCGTCATCCTCCTCAAATCGGTCTCCATCATCTACCACTTGCGCTATGGTCGCCGTAGGATCGAATATGCTCCTTAATACAGCTTTATCTCTCTCACTCAAATTTTCTAAACCCGCCGCCATGTTCGCTTACACTTGTTTTCCACACAAGAACTTAAACTAAACTAAAAGTAAAACGTGAATAAATGTAAAACCCGTTCGTTCCGCTATAATTATATTAACACTCGATTATTGGTCCATTTGATCAAATGTTTGATACAACATTTATGTTAATATAAAAAAACCGGCTGGCTGTTTACATTTAAAATGTTGCATTATAAAATTAATATTACAAGTTCCTATCATATCGACAATCTTTATGACTTATTCGCATACTAGATAACATAAATCTGGGTTATTAATATTTGAAGCAATCATTTTAATCGATAATTACGGATCTTTCTAATTAAAATTGACAACATAATAATTAATGTAGTAATCTGGAATAAATCTATAACATTATATAATTCTCAAAAAGTAAATTTGAGGATTTTTTTTAATTATTAAATAACCATACAATGGGTTTATGGAAGGGGGAAAGGGATTGTTAGTAATGGAGACTGAGAACCCCATTGCTAGCAATATACCCAACCAGGTCGACCTCCTCGCGGTTTTCCCTGGAAACTATCATGGTTAATTCCTGATGAATTCATCATGATGGGCTAACTGGCCTGTTTTGGTTCTCATCTATCACCCTTCACTGGTGCTCCGCCAGCGTATCCCGTTAGCGCAGGTGGAGTTACCATACCATTTTCACCCATAAAAAAAATGGGTTTATGGAGTCGTGTGGTCCCGCTATAGAATAAGCCACCCCTTCCTTTTCTGTGGGTGTCGTAAGAGACGATTAAGGGAACTTAATTGTGGAGGGATGGACAGCAGCATCTCTCTTAAAACATCTCTAAAAGCCTAACTGCGGTTGCCAACCTGCCTGCCAAGCGTGGCAACTACTGGCAAAACTTCCCTTATGGGAAAGGCTTATGTTCAGCAGTGGACAGTTAACGGCTGAAATGGTGAATTAATTTACCAGTTTCAATTAACGTTTATTTCTATTAATTAATGTATGTAGCCCTATAACACAATAATATATATTTATATATTTTCTATACGGCATAAAAATGGCAAAACATTATTAGTTACTAATTTCTCATATTCAAACAAGAAAAAAGTAATCAGGTGTTTATTGAAATAAAAAATACTAGATATTTTAACAATTTTATTAAATAATTTTCGGTTAAAATATAATATTATAAACTAAAATTACCTATTACTTAAAACTAAAGAGAGTAACTAATTGGCCGAGTGTACATCTACTCATTTCATATAAGGCATTGTCTCATCCCATCCCAAATTTCAATTTGGTATATTCTACGATTCATTTTCATGAAAAAGAGTAACATTTTCTTTGGAATTTCAATTTTAGGTAACACAGATAAGTCCTGACATAAAATCGCGATTTTGTATAAAATAAGATTGAACATTTACACGATATCTGAATAGTAGAAAGCACAAATTGTATGGTATAAACTGAGTCAGTTGATGCCATAAAAAATTTTGTCTTAACACTAATATATTATCATATTGTATAAGGACTTATCTGTCTTGAAAATCATAGTAAATCATGATAAGCCATGAAAAATATACAAAAAAAAAAATACAGTTACATGTCTTATATAGAACTACATGAATTCATTTTAAATTTAACATATCATAATTTTGTAATAATTGTTTCGTCAAACAGTTGACATAGTTAGCCTCCTCGGAATAAAAATGGCAAGACAAATCTCATATTAAACTGCAGAATTGCCATTTATAATATCAGGCACTTGAGATGAAATCATGGTGTTGCCATTATTACTTGAAGAGTCCAACGCATTAAGTAGGCATCATAAATTGAAAAAAATTATATAATGGTACATTTTTAATGATTTTTTTAATATTAATTATCAGGGAATTATTTAATGTGTCCCACTATAATATCCCACAAATAGAAAAAAACAATATACCTAAATTCGAAAGAATTTAGCAATTTTTCTAATACCAAATTTACATATCGATGCAAAAAAAATTGAGTAATTACTAGCTGTTCTAAAGTATAAATATACAAAAAGTTCCTTTACAATGCGTTTGTATAAAAAAAAATACTTAAAACAAACTACCAATATCATATTTATTTATTTACTTTACTGCAACAAGTAAAAAAAAAAGTGGCCTTAGTGTTAAGCAGTCTCTTTCAGACAAATTTTGGGTAGAGGACATTGAGAAAAGACAAAGGATAACTAATGTATATATAATTAATAAGTGTATGCTTATGTATGAGGCAGGTAGTGAGTTACACAGGCCAACTGCCTGGACAGTAAAGGATTTAGAAAAGGAAGAATAATGAGCGGGAAATTTGAAGTAGAGTTTGACACTTACGTAAAGTATGGTCATTTCATTAGCCTCGCTAAGAAACATGAATCGGTCTTTTAGATAATCAGGAACGAGGTTAAATATATATATAGGATATGCAGATAACGACAAAAGCGTATAGGTAGCCACTTAAGTACGAAATTAAGAAATGTAATCATATTTACGAAGACCAAATACGAAGCGAATACATAAATATATATATATATATATATATATATATATATATATATATATATATATATATATATATATATATATATATATATATATATATAAGATTGAGCGTCTTCACTCAATCTTGTATATATAATAATATTTTTATTATTATAATTAATATAAATTAATAAAAAATTTAAAATGATATTAGGTAGTTTGTTTTTCCTGTATTTGTAGCTTTTCCATTTTTCCACTTTTAGATTTTGTATCGTATTTGGGACAAAAGCAATGTCGAAAATATACGGTACAATAGCAAAGTTTATCTACGATTTCGACCAACGTTGACACTTCTTTTCATTTGACAAAACCTTCGCACACAATAATTGGCGGGTAAATTCCTTGTCAAATATCACAAACGCATTCCTTGGACATCACAAAAATAATTGAACTACAATAATATAATCAAAACTTAGAATTGAATTAACGTCACTGAATTAAAATTAAAAACTTGTAACTAAGTGTAATTTTGTTTTGTCTTTGAGAAATTTCATTGGGCATTTTTTTTGCTGATTAATAATCCCGTATAGTCTAAACGGGATCAATTTTAGTTTTTTATTTTTTTCAACCAATTTTGTAATTGTAACCAGCTTTAACATAAACCTTAAAAAATCTCATTACTATTATGAAGTTTTCGACACATTACGACGATTACAAAACAAAACGCGAATTAAAAAACCAACAGGACTCCGATTATTCATTATGTTTTATAATAATTGTTAAAAAGAGAACACTAAAGTCTTAAGTTCTTTAAGTTACTGCTATTAAAATTTTTGATAATAGTAAACTATTAGGCGTAGAATCCTTTTTATGCGACACCAACAACCATGCCTGTAAGTTGATAGATATTCAAGTATTATGGAATTCAGTGACAATATAAAAATGGCGGCCATAGTTCCAGTTTTTGACACTACAAATAAATGGTAAAAGCTAAAGTAGCATTATTTTTTTTTTATATATATTGGGGTCGAGTTTCTGACGACATTTCTCTAAATTTAACTCTAAAATTAACATTGCAATTTGATATCAAAGAAATATGTGTTCTAAGGACTAATATATACTAAATTTTAGGTTAATATTATTATAGATTTAGTTTATGCTAGTCCATTAAACAGTAATTTTGTGAAACTATTAAAATATTAAGAGAAATAGCGTTTCAGACTCGACCCCAATATAGCACTGAGTTAGTAAACAAGCATGTGGTCCATCTGAAAAATTTCATGTGCCTCTAACATTTCAAATTATAAATGTAAACACTAAATCAGTAGAAACAAACTCACACTCGGGCCCAGAAAAAATACGCTAATTGGCACTAAACATTGTTCACGAACATGAATCAATATTTACATAATGTTCAAGCTTAATTTAATTTTACAATTTTTCTATAACCAATATTCATTAAATCTCAAATATTAGTAGAAACATACCGAATAAATAACTTATTATTACTTATCATTTTAAACGTGGGGCTTTATTTCGTTATATGTAAAAAATATATGCTTTCTTGTCACTGTAAACAATTTTATGACAGATATCTTTATATGTAAATCTACGAAAGCTTCACAGATTTGTTTTCCCTATTCTGGTGTAATGTGTGACGACGTAATATAGTAAATTACTGTACCTAATATTTCAAAATTTGCGTCGAATCTAAGCACGCCATTTCTCTAAATTACTACACTACCGCTCAAAAGTATTTGGCCACTTGCATTTTGTTTAAGTTACAAACAATACATTTTAAAGAGATCATTTATTAGGTTTCATTGTTTGTATAACACCGCAAAATACTTGTGTACAGTACAATCGTAAACAGTTTGTTATTTGCAGATTCCTGGTCAGAAAACCATAATAGTGTTATTGTCCAATTTTCTTCGATGTTAATCTTTGAAGTCGCAATTTTGTTTTGATTTAGTTATTGGAAAATATAGAAGAATTACTAGAAATATTTTTACGTTAGTTATCTGATGTCATTTGACCAGAAAATACGCTCTCCATAGCTTAGTACTTACAAGTCTACCAATATTTTTTGTTTTTCACATTTGATTTTTATTTTTTAAATAAGATGGGTATATTAATCGGCCTTCATAAATCCGATAAAAAGAATCGTGAGATTTCAAGTCTACAGAAGATACCAAGAACAAACTGTTTACTTGATATCTCCTAAATCTGTTTCCGCAGTTCTTGGTATATAAACCACAAAGTGATAATTATTATATTTTTTAATTATAATTTTTTTGCTTCATGCGGTAAAAAGTGGTAAATGAAAAATTACAAAATCTTAGCTCTCTATAACAATAAATTTCGGAGATATTAAGGAATGAATTTAAAACACCGGTCACAATGACCGGTCCGCGGTTCAAGTATTAATCTAATATTTTAATTTAATAGTTTCTCAAAATAACTGTTTCATGGACCTTTATAGGTTACATTTTTAATAATGAATGAGTATACTTTATCTGCATTATACAATATTACGGGATAAGCAAGTCAATCAATTAATGTAACGATACAGTTGTATAAATACAGTAAGACTGTCTTATAGCTTAAGGCAATCTTTTCAAGACAACCTTAGGGTAATGATCTAAATGTATTAAACGTTTAATTCATACTGGTGCATATGATAAAGTTTTTGCTGCAATATTTATTTTTATCTCTAAAAATAAGTTTTAAAGAAATGGCGTCTCCGAATCAATCCTATTTGTATAAAATATAAATGCCTTGTAGCATAGTAAATCAACCATGACCCACCCTGACGCGGGACTTTTTGTTTGTTTTATATATTTTTAAAAACTTTTGCCCACGAAATTAAAACCTTTGCCTTCCTAGGCTTGTATGTACGAATGACATTTCTCGGAGTAATTTTTAATACGGTTATTTTACTATGGCCGAACTAAACTGCGCAGACCTTTTCAGTATTACAGACACGTAATTTTTTAGTTCGTGCAACCATACTTGTTTTTACCATTTAATTATTTAATATAATGCCCACGGCCATTTTCTACCATCGTACTGCTCACCATCTACAGGGACTTCACCCTCATACCCTACAGCCTAAATGGTCGCGTAAAACGCAGTTTCAGATATATTTTCTCACACGAAAACTCAGGTTATAGAATGAGCTCCCTGCCGAGGTGGTCCCAAGAGACTACAACATGGGGTTCTTCAAAAGGGAGATAAAGAGGTTTCTTCAGGGTCGGCAACGCGCGCGTAATACCTCTGGTATTGCAGGTGTTCATAGGCTACGGTAACCGCTTATCATCAGGTGGACCGTATGCTCGTTTGCCACCTCAGTGGTATAAAGAAATCGTGCATTTTGATAGATAATTTGTACTTCCCCGGAGTAACACAGAAATGTGAATGACACATTACGTCATAGTCGTAGAATACTGACGGATCTTTATATGTAATATTTGTCAGATCCGTCAGTATTCTACGACTGTGACAATATTGAAAAATGACAGGGAGAGTACTAAGAAACGATATTATTGAGTAGAGCTGCTATTTCAAATCCCATCCGCTCCGTGTATGTATGTGACATTTCGGGATTGGTAACATTAATTGTTAACCATTTCTGTGGATTCGGTCGCTCGAAAAAACATAACTTAGTGATTATAGAAAGAATATGCTATTTTCTCTAAGTGTTTGTGGCGAGACTCGATTAAATGTTAATCTAAGACTAGAACAATAAGTTCCGCATCTATTTATTTTTGGTGCATCAAAAATTGTTATTCCATTTTTAGTAATCATTTTAAAGCAAGATGGATGAAATATTAGAATTATATTGTCATAGACGTGTAAGAAAACATGAAAGCTTGTGTGTATAGGTACGTAATATATTAGTAGAATTCCATTCGCTAGCTAAATGAGTATAAATTATGTCATGTTATACAAGCAATATAAACAAGATTTTGACTAATGTCTAATAATTTTGGTCCAACATTCTACTTTATAGCATTTAAATACATAAATGACCAGATTCATCGTATAACTATTGCGTAAGATAAATTGCATTGTCGTACACAGCGGCATCTTTTCCCAAACGACACAGAATTTGTAATTTTAAGCATGGCAACTAATAGGCATGGTTAAATATATTTTATTTATAAATAAATAAATAATAACAATATAGATATAATGGTGACAGCCAAAAGGTGAGATATTGTTAAACGACATAAAAAATACGAAGCTACGTACGGATATACGTCGGTCATACTTGCCTATCCTTAAACATATAGAAAAAAAAATACAAAATATGTACCAATAAACGTGTTTAAAAGTTACTATACTGGCAACAAAATTTAAAAGAAGAACATATAAAAATAATTAAATCTACAGATTATATTTTTTATAAGCTCTTTCAAAAATTTTGTTCGTTATTTGCAGACCGGTGTTGCCAGGCCCACTTAATTTGTGTAACATCAAGTTTAATTAATTTTATGATTTTAAATTCTGTAAAAATCTATCATAGTTTAGATAACACGAAATAGTATAAAAATTCTTTTATTGGTACTACTCCAATGCTTATTCTATGCAAGTAACCATTTTCTGTAACGGTTACTCTGAAAACGTCTTGGGAGCAATCCACCTTAGTTTCTGTTGCACCAATAGTTACAAATTTGGTTACGTACTAAGAATAAATAAATCTACAAGGCTTGCAATTAGACGATTATTCTATATCACAATCCCATTTTACAATTACGTATCTTATACTAATGGTAGGTCGCGACCACGAATTGCCAATTATATATGATTGTGTTTGTATGAAAAGATTGATGATTGTGGAAAAAGATAAAGAGGTTTGTATGAATACCTACCCTATATCGCTATAGGATAGGTAGAAACAATCGACAGGCGTGACTCTATGTATGTATGTATAGATGTATTCATCATATTTGATTACAAGCGGTACTGGATTGTTGAAAAGAAGTTCAAAATTGGATTAAATACTTTTTCTAGTATCTTTATCTAAGGTTGTATCATATATCGAACTACAAACAAAAATATACTAATATTACAACACATTTGTAATAAATAAATTTCATTTAGTATGTACGTGAAAGGATGCAACTCTGTCAAAGTGACATTATAATCAATTGTTCAGAATTGTTTAATTTTACCAACAAACAATTAATGCCACATAGTACATACATACTACTGTTTACATAGACAAGAGATCGTCACAAATCTTTATCAATATGAATTATAAACAAGCAATAACAATCACTACATTATATGCAATGTTTAAAACCAGCTTATAGAAATAAGCTATAAAGACATAGGCCGTTAACATGGGGACTAGGCTGGCCTGTGTCGTAGCATCATCATTGGACAGCAACCCGTGATCGCGCCTGTATGCACCTCAGTCACTGTTATTATAAAGGCGCAAGCATTATTTGTGTCAACAAGTTTTGTTATTTCCATTGCTGCATACATACATATGTATATTTATTAATTTTCTTGTAACCTACCGTTTCCCTACCCCAGTGAATTATCAATCAACACTATTTATCTTTTACATACATTTCGTAAAAAAATATTAAAATATTGAATACATACTTATAATTTACCGTCACGATATAATGTTATCGTCACAATACAATAGGAAAAGAAAATATAAATATATGGTGTGTAGAGATATAAAAATAATAAAAATATTACGATATAATACCCTTGCCAAGGCAATTTATAGAAGCGGCCATTCAAAAAAATACTTCTTCAGGATTTGACAAACATGGGAAATAGATATGGCGTTCAAGACTTCCATAAGCAACAATTTCCCATCAGGCAGACCGTATGCTATACTGTCATAGTATTGTACCTTAATCAATATAATATTAAGACCAAATAAAAACAGCGGCAATGATATAAGTCATAGACACAAATAACGCGTGAGCATTAGATATAGTAAGCTAAAAATATACAATTAGAAATAACCTAGAATATACTATACAATGTACAAAAAACTGGATATAAAAACGTCTCGTTAGAATTTTGTGTCATCGACTGTACAAACAAACACAAAATATGACAGATTCCCCCGGTCTTCGGATATCTATCATAATTTAGACAACCTGTTCCACTAATTACATTTTGTTATAGGTAACAACGAATGCATGTATACATTAATATCTTTAATGCATATAAAATTATGCATGATAATACTTTATGCACATAAAAATATTACTGTGCTGTCATTTCATAAAATCGTATGGGATTATCATCTAGGTTATATCCCTCTAAATAATCTACCATAACAATTATTGTTCCCTGAAATGAGCACTCACTATTCATTTCATTATTTTATTTCACAATTTATAAATTACTCTCACATGTATTTAGTCTATAGTATCTATATACAATACAGTACTATCACTAACCATAGACATTAATAAATATAGATGAAGATGGAGTAACTTACTCCATCTACATTCATATTTTTTCGCTTACTGTAATGTCACAATAACTATTTATTGGCAGCAAACATGTATATAAAAGTTGCACCCGACTCTTTCAACAATATCTGGAGTAACAATAACAATGGACAATAATAGGGACAATAACGGACCATTGTCCATTAAACTAACATTTATACACAATAAACAGCCCTCTATGAAGAGGCTGTTTTGACACCAAAGAAACAACTGCTCATGTAATCCTGGAATATGAAGCTGTGGCCTCTCAATATTTAGAAATCATCTGAACATTCACAGGCTTCACGGAACGACCTTACGCTCCGTGAAGCCTGTGAAGATCCCAGGAAGCTTCTGTGCTTTTGGGCATAGAAGCTTCCTGGTCTACTACTAGTCATGACTCTACACACAACAGCCCAAATGAGAGGCTAAGCGCAGAAAAGAAAGTCCAATTTACGTTACATTAGTCTTAAACTGTTTTATAGATACATGAAATTTAGTTGTTTTTTTTTTTAGGAAAAAAATTATTACACAATTATATCATCTTTTTAAACTTACATCTGTAGATCAATACAATGATTAATGACTATTAATGATTGATCTGCTCCACTTAGAACAGTGCAGATATATAAAATGCCAGTATAAGTTGACCACACATTTGAAATGCATTACATGCATATTATATTGTAAATGTAAATGACCTGTATTTTTAGCAATTATATTAAATGCCTGTTATATTAAACAGTAACACGTCGATTTTAAATTGATTGTTACAATATTTATTTCAGATTCATATCAGATTTTTGTAAAAACAGATGTCATCTATTTTTACAAATTAATTAATAAGAAACCTTGATTCTGAAGCTCCATTCTCTCTTAAATTCCTTATCTAATGTTACAATGAAATCAACAAACAATTGTAGACTAGTGTGAAATAAATTTGCAATACTTGAATCATATTTAGTTCATGGCGGCCTATAACATAATAATTATCTTTGCAACTATTTTGCCTTTCACAATGTCAAGGTTGGAAAAGGCACTACTTATATAGTATTTTTAATAACTATAATTTTTAAATATTAGCTTTAAACAAAAGTTTAGGTAATAATAATTCAAAATTGACCTCATTATTACATTTTACTGTTAAATTTTGGTTTTATATTTATATTTTTATATCAATACTTACTCAATAGTATCTATTAAATATATAGGTACCATTGAATACATTATATATTATTGCACTTGTCAATTTCATAAATAGGACAGTTATATTTTATATAAACCCATAAATGTTACAAAAAGGACTGATTAAGGTGTCTACAGGTTATAACAACACCAAGCATATTGATCTTGAGTCTTGACAGAAACATGTATGAATAAATTATAAATTGTGAAATAGACATATTACATACATTGAAGTCATAACTAACACCTAATATCCGATATATTGATGGGAAGTAACATGGACAAACTGATGGAACTTACATTTTAGAACAATGAATTTCAACAATGCTACCTACGTGTGAAGCCTTTTGTGCCATCTGGTCCTCTTGGTGTTCGTATAACAAGCACTCCTCGGGGTGGTGGGGAAGGAAATATTCCAGCTGGACTGGCTCCAGGTGGTAACCGTGAGAGAACTTTCCGTTCCTTACCTTTACCATTATCACCATTACAGTTTTTATTTTTGCCAATGTTTTGATTGTCATTGAGATTGTTGGCTTGTAGTTTGTCTTGCAACCGGTTAAGACTGAAAAAAATATATTTCAATGTTTAGTATTACCACCATCATAAAAATACATTATTGTCAGTAGGCTAGAGAATGAAATAGGATAGTTTTTTTTTTTTTTTTTTTTTATCTTGATGAGTTAATATTTGTCAATAGTGCAAAATTGCCGGCACAGCCAGTTCTTAGAAATATTTAAAGTTGGAAATAATGAACTCTATTGTTTTTGACTAAGTAATATTAATTATCAAACATCTTTATACATGTTAACATAAACAATGTTAACTCATATTAACAGAACAGCTCTGATTCAATATAACTACTTCAATATAAATAAAAACATGTAAATCCTAATACTATTGGGGTTACAAATAACCATTTAGAATGGTAAAAATTTAATGGGCGAGTTTCCAAACGTAAGTTTTATGTAGAAGATATAACTGCAAATTAACATAAAAAAATTGGCAGGCCTAGATTTGTATTATTTTTAAGCTAGTTATCACAAGACCTTCACAATTCTATGGTTATGTAAACACTAATATAGACATTAAATTTATACTTACTTGTCGTCTATAACATCTTCGGGACTTCTAGCTTCGCCCAATATCCGGAGTCGAGCCTCCTCGTACTCCTTCTGTCTTTGTTCCAGGGTCTTCACAGGCCGCGCGCGACTCTCGCCATTGAGTTGACCGCTTGCCGATGACGAAGGCCGTTTGAGGATACGAATCGCTGGCTCTGGCATCACGCACTGAGAACCTATACACGCGTTTTCTTCAACGGTAACCTTGCAACCTTTCAGAGTCGTCACAGGGGCGCATTCACTTGACATCAGCTTAATCTTTTGGTCTAACTAAAAAAGAGCAAGAAATATTTGAATAACAAACGAAGGCCGACGGACGTGATGGGACGCCTACAGGGACAACGTTCAAAGTTTAACTTACGCCAATTTCGTCCATATCCTCCCAACTTTCACATACGTCAACTTCATCTTGGGCCGCCATATTGACTAACACTCTTTTTTTTATTATTTCTTTCAATGTTACCCTTTTAAAAATAAAAAAATGTTCTTTCCTAAGAACAAGTCAATACCTAAGAACAAAAAAGTACATAGAAGGAATGATAAAATAAAAACTGTAAATAATATGGTTGCCTCCTTTCTTCTTATGCAAAATAATTAGTAAAAAGAGTATGAAAGATACACCTTCATTTGCAATTTTTCTCAATTCATAGCACGTTTGTGTATAGAAAATGTTAAATATCAGTTATTACTCAATGACATATTTAATATTACTAGATTATATATTCGACTCAATTTATGTAGAAAGTATGCAAGTAGGTAGTATCTGAATTTGGTAGGGTTATAAGGTCGAATAACATTGTCGGTGCTTTAGGATATTTAAATAATATTGGCGCAATTATTTCGTATAATTCAACAAATTGTTCTAATTGATAACAAACAAAATTTCCTCTGGTACATACAGACTGAATCAGCCCCAAAGACTTTGTTTGATGATCCTGAGCTTTCTTTAAAGGGTCAGCAGCATTTTTATAAATATGTAGTATTAGACAGCTGTTAGTAAATTCATGGTTTCTTCTAGTCTATCTTTATTGTCAAATGGTTTTGATGCTACTAAGTTTAATGTACTAAGATGAATAAAATTTGCGCCATTGTCCGTGGTAAACGCTACCACTTAGTAATGCCCCATTTTTCTGTCATATTAAAGAGAGGCGAAATAAAATAAGCACACAGCCATCTGCGAGTTTTTGAGCAATTAAACCCTTTTTCTGTCATATTAAAGAGAGACGAATGAAACTAAGCACACAGCCATCTGTGAGTTTTTGAACAATTAAACCCTTTAATCAGCAACATTGTAATATTACAGGTATATTTATTTAACTAATTGTAAATAATTTTACATTTTTACCAAATCCAGAAATAATCGAAAGTCGATTTTCTAGGGTGAAATATTGATTCACTGTATCAATTCAGTACTACTATTGATGTGAATAATCGATTTTTGTGACGTAATAATTAATGATTCGATTAATCGTTTTTAGATCAGCATGGCATCCCTACTTTGTATGTCACTTCATTCGTAGTGTAAATGGTTTCATTTTCTTATGCGTTGTTTTTATTTTACATTTATCTCACGTGTTAATTTTTCATTTCACTATTTTATTTCATAATGTATATTATTGTGATATAACATTATAATATTTTCCAAACAAGTTATAGTTTAAATGTATAAACAGAAAATAATACAGGTAAGGTTAGAAGTCATTACTTAAACATATTTTTCCTAAAACTTTTAGAGGTTATGTTTACTTCATTAAGGGGAAAATTAATTAAAAATTTTATTTATTATTTGCAGAATGCCTTCAAAAAGGTCTTTAACCTCTTTCCTTACGGGTATGACATCCGTCGATCCGGATTCCATTCACTTTTTAATGTTCGATGACGAAGATGTCAAGAAACTGAGTGTGGTTAAAATAACAAATATGACCTCCTTCGATGCCGTAGGTAATCCAACTAAAGGAGGTTTGTATGATTCTGCTTTAGGACCAGTAAGAGATCGGTTTGATGATTGTGCGACATGTGGCAATTCATTGTTACATTGCCCTGGCCATTTTGGTCATATAGAACTCCCGTTACTTGTCGTAAATCCACTTTTTATTAAGGCTATATATTCACTGTTTCGAATAAGCTGCCTGAAATGTTTCAAAATACAAATGGATGATCGAATGAAGTTTCTATTAAAACTTCAATTGCAATTATTGGATGCTGGCCATGTAACTGCTGCACTTGATTTAGATAATTTCATGGGGGATATAAAAGAGGTGGACAAGGAAACAGGAAAAGAAAAAACCCACAAAATCATAAAGAAGTGTAAAAAGCTGTTAAAAAATAAAGATCCAGTTACTGAAGTTTTTCACAACAAAAATTCGGACAAGTTACGTGCAAAAATTGTTAGTAATTATTTTCGTTCCATAAATACAGTCAAGCAATGTGCTTTTTGTAAAAGTAAGCTAATCAAAATCACAACCTCAGAGGGTAAATTGATGTACAATCTTAGCGCTGATGCTTCTGGCAAGGGAATGAAAATATTGATGCCTGATGAAATAAAAACCTACTGTACCAATATAGCACAGAATGATGAAGATATTTTAATTCATTGTATTCCAATTCTTCAAAATACAAATAAAAAACCTGTTACGGACATATTTTTTATGAGTGTCATTCCAGTGCTACCAATTTGTGTTCGACCCTGCAATATATTACAAGGAGAATTGATAGAACATGTACAAACTAATATTTATAAAGCTATAATGTCTGTAGCGTTTAACACAAGAGTTGTCTTGCAAGTTTTATCAGCTTCTGATCACCAAAAAGCCATAGATGGCTTAGATAAAAAACCAAGAAGCGCATATGAAAGTATTGCAGGTAAAACACCAGCAGAGAAGTTGCATTCTGTTTGGCAGGAATTGCAAAGAAATATTAATTTATTATTGAGCTGTGAAAGTCAGGGTTTGTCTAGTCAAGGTCTAAAACAAATTCTTGAAAAGAAAACTGGTTTAATTAGAATGCACATGATGGGCAAAAGAGTAAATTTTGCAGCTAGGTCAGTTATCACACCTGATCCAAATGTAGACATTGATGAAATAGGAATTCCAGATGCTTTTGCCAAAAAACTTACATACCCTGTACCTGTGTCAGAATGGAATGTTGAGGAACTAAGAAAAATGGTAATAAATGGACCGAATGTGCACCCTGGTGCTGAAAAAATAGAATTTGAGAACGGGAGGATTGTCAGGATTTCACCAGATTCAATTCATAAAAGAAGAGGTCTTGCAAAAATATTATTAACACCAGATGAGATTAAGACACCAGGATTAAAAATTGTGCATAGACATTTGGTGAATGGTGATATAATGATAATGAACCGTCAACCCTCACTCCATAAACCAAGTATGATGGCTCATAGAGCAAGAATTCTCAAAGGAGAGAAAACATTAAGGTTGCATTATGCAAACTGTAAATCATATAATGCTGATTTTGATGGTGATGAAATGAATGCACATTTCCCACAAAATGAAGTTGCAAGGGGTGAGGCCTATAATATAATGTCTGTTCGGAAACAATACTTAGTACCAAAAGACGGTACTCCTTTGAGTGGTTTAATTCAAGATCATGTAATTTCTGGAGTTAAAATGTCACTAAGGGGTAAATTTTTTTCAAAAACAGATTATCAACAACTAGTTTTTCAAGCTTTAACAAATCACAGAGGTAATATAAAGCTTCTTCCACCAACAATAATTAAACCAATAATGCTTTGGTCAGGGAAACAAGTTTTATCCACTATTATTATCAACACCATACCTAAGGGAAAACCATACTTGACTTTAATTGGGAAAGCAAAAATTAATTCCAAAGCTTGGCAGAAAGAGCCACCAAGACAGTGGAAAGCAGGGGGCACAAAATTTATTGATTCAAATACAATGTCTGAGGCAGAAGTTATAATAAGAAAAGGAGAACTTTTATGTGGAGTGTTAGATAAGACCCATTATGGTGCAACACCCTATGGCTTAGTTCATTGCATGTATGAGCTTTATGGAGGTGACAGTTCTAGTGCCCTATTGAGTTCATTTTCAAAAGTGTTTACTTTTTATTTACAATGGGTAGGATTTTCACTGGGCGTCAAAGACATCCTCGTTGTAAAAGAGGCTGATAGTAAACGCGACGATTACATCTGTTTAGTCAGAGATTCAGGTAGAGTTGCAGCCATTAAGGCTACAAATCTACCAGCAGATATTGATGATGATAAATTAAAAGATACAATTGGGGAAATGTACACCAAAGAGCCCAAATTCAGAGCCAATTTGGATCGGCAATATAAAAGTATGCTTGATTCATATACAAACAATATAAATAAAGTCTGTTTATCTGAGGGTTTACTAGAAAAATTTCCATACAATAATTTACAACTGATGGTTCAGTCTGGTGCCAAAGGATCAACTGTTAATACTATGCAGATATCTTGCCTACTAGGTCAAATTGAGTTGGAAGGTAAAAGACCTCCTCTGATGATATCAGGGCGCTCCCTTCCAAGTTTTCCTCCATATGACATTTCTCCTAGGTCTGGTGGATTTATTGACGGTCGATTCATGACTGGAATACAACCACAGGAATTTTTTTTCCATTGTATGGCTGGTAGAGAAGGTCTCATTGATACCGCTGTAAAAACTAGTCGTTCAGGTTATTTGCAGAGATGCTTAATCAAACATTTAGAAAGTTTAAGCGTAGCATATGATCATACTGTTAGAGATTCAGATGGAAGTGTTGTTCAGTTTGCATATGGAGAAGATGGACTTGATGTTTTAAAATGTCAGTACCTCAAAGAAAGTCAATTGGAATTTCTTGATATTAATTCAAATGCAGTAGTTGGAAAGTCTACAATAAAGAAGCTCAAAGAAGACACGGATCTAAAAACAATAACAAAATCATACAAGGCACTGAAAAAATGGAAAAAGAAAAATGGAAATCCGCTGCAAAAAACACGTAATAGTGGATTTGCTCAGTTTTCCATTCAAGCTAAAAATGATATGACACTTGATAAGAAACCAACGGATCAAACAAGAGATCAATATTATTGGGAACTTGAAAAAATGTGGCGCGAATTAGATGAAGATGAAAAACAACAATATGTATCAAAGTCGTGTCCAGATCCAATACCAAGCAAAATTTCTCCTCAATGCAAGTTTGGTGTTATAAATGAACAATTAGATGGCATAATTCGGAACTACTTGAAAAACCGTAAAGAAAATTTGTATGATACTTACACAGAGAAAGACAAATTCATGGAAGTAATGAATGCCAAATACATGGCTTCTATGGTCGCTCCTGGTGAACCAGTAGGACTATTAGCCGCTCAGTCTATCGGAGAACCATCTACCCAGATGACATTGAATACTTTTCATTTTGCCGGTCGAGGTGACATGAACGTTACTCTAGGTATTCCTCGACTCCGTGAAATTCTTATGACAGCATCAGCCAATCTAAAAACTCCAAATATGGATATACCATTCCGATCTGATGTTCCAAATGTACAGAAGAAAGCTGAACGTCTCAGACAAAAATTAAATAGGGTTAATGTGGCAGATGTTTTAGAAAAGATAGATGTTCTAGGTGAAGTAGTGACAGAACCGGAAAGAAAATTGAAAACAACGATGCGTTTTACATTCTTGCCACATTCTCAGTATAAGACTCAATACTCAGTGAAACCACCACAGATTATAAAACATATGCAAAATAAATTCTTTACGGAGATGTTCGCCATTGTAAAGAAACACGCAAAAACGACTTGTGGTGTGTTGTGGTCATCTGAGAAAGAAAAGAGACAGCGTCAAGCCAGAAATGATAGTGAGGATGAAGAAAATCCTGCTGATACTGATGAGAAGGGAGCAGATATTAAAGCTGTAGATAGCTCTGATGATGAAGGACCTAACGAAGATGATGACAATACTGATGTAAGTATTTTTAAATCTAAGTAGATTATCTTACATAATTTGTGTCAACATTTCAACGAGCTACATTTAATTTAGTAAAATGGAATATATTATTTATAACTACTTAGAAAATATCTTTCTAGTTTTGTCAAAATTTCCATTTTTTTTTTATGATACTTATACTTAGATTGGCAAGCAAACTCACGGTCACGACATTACAGAATACACTATTGTCTCCGTTTATGGGTTGCCATACAGACTACGATATTATAGCTCCATACCGTGTATTTAATTTCCGTCTCTCACATACAAGCACATTTGCTTCACGGCAGAAACACGAATGAAACAGAAGTAGGATAATTGCTTAATAACAATTACTTTGTTTAACAATGTTTCAATTAAATCTATAAATATATTTTATAGAACAAGAAATCATTGTTGGATTCCAATCCAACCTCTCATATTTCATATTATTCATACATGTCTCCTTATACGGTTATTCCGTTATATATCAATATCCTACATCTATTCTGTATACTTGCCTATAATATATTGTAGCTAGATAATATAATAGATATTAAAAAAAAATATGAGACTTAGAGCAAACAAAAGAGAATCCAAAATAATAATTTTTACAATTTTTGTCTGTTTTGTTTATTAAATGCAGTTTTTACAGTTGTATATTTTTTTTTTATACAACTTAGAATTGCAAACAAGCTGATGGCCTACCTGATGGAAAGTGGTAACCGTCGCCTATAGACATAAGCAGTACCGTGGACATAACAGAGTATACTGTTTCGCCCATGATAAGAATGTGTTGCTATTCCTGAGGACTCGGATGTTATTCCTCTATACCCTGTAAATTCACGCCATATCCCACCCTTCAAACCGAAACACAGCCATGCAAACACAACTGCTTTACGGTTGAAACACGAATGGGACACAGGTACCCGAACAATAGACATTTGTATATCCGAATTTTGAACTTAAAATTTTGTGTATGTGTAAATTAAACAGACATGGTACATTTTAGGTGCGTAAACAAAAATTATAGTTATCTGCTTCCAAACTTGCAGGGAAAATTTTATGATATTAGTAAATTCATCTTTATTTTGTCACTGTTATTTTACCCAAATAAATGGGAAAAAATCTAATGGGTCCTTTGCCGCCTTTATAATACAATAAGTAATAAATTAAGTTGCAATTCGCATAACTGATTATTAATAACACCTTTCAGGCAAATATTCGAAAGAAAAGGTCAGAAGAACAAGAATATGAAGACCCTGAATCTGATGAGGAGGAGAAATCTGATGACGAAGTAGAATTGGCGGATGAGCCAACCAAGAATTTGGAAGACGAAGAGCCGACAGAGGCATTAGATGAGACACACGACAAGATTTCTAATGAGGTTATCAGCAACGTCAAGAATGCCACTAATTACACATACGATATGAAACATCACAGATGGTGTGAACTGACAGTGCTATTTCCTATAACATTCTTAAGAGTGGATTTGTCTCAGGCGCTTCGCGATGCTGCCATGAAGTCTGTTATCTACGAGATCAAAAATATCAAAAGAGCCATCACCAACAAAGAGAAAGACGTTTGGTATATTAAAACTGAAGGCATAAACATACTGCAGATGTTTAAATATAATCACCTCTTGGATCTGAACAAACTGTACAGCAACGATATTCACGCGATTGCAAACACTTACGGCATAGAAGCGGCTAACAAAGTAATTATAAAAGAGATCCAGAATGTATTCAACGTGTACGGTATCACTGTAGATCCGAGACATCTAACACTAATAGCAGATTATATGACATTCAACGGCATATTCGAGCCGATGAGCAAGAAGGGAATGGAATCTTCAACTTCACCTCTACAGCAGATGTCGTTCGAGTCGTCTTTGATATTTTTAAAAGATGCTGTTTTGAATGCGAAAAAAGACAATCTACGATCTGTATCCAGTTGCCTGATGGTGGGGCAGCCATGTCGTAGCGGTACTGGTGCTTTCGGCTTACAGCATTATACTAAAATTACATAGTCATAAATGTAAATTTTACATAGAAACATGTACATAGTGATTATTGTACTATTGTAAATGTGTGTACACTTTGTAAAAACATTTACACAGTGACTACTAATTCCTATTAGTTATTACTATAAGAAATATTATTTTCAATTTGTTTTGTTTATTATTCTTGTATTCATGTTTATATAGTATATTAAGTTAAATGAAGCAAGATATGTTTTTAAATTAGGATATTAAGAATAATCGCTACTGATTTCTATTAGTTATTACAATGTTATATAAAATATAATATTATTTCCAATTAATCTTTTATTATTTTCCTATTAATGTTTTTTTTAATGGATGATAATGGAATGGTAACCCCACCCGTGCTATCGGTATACACCGGCGGAGCACCAGTGAAGGATGATAAATGAGGATGAAGTAGGTCAGTTAGCCCATCGTGACGACTTCAACAAGAATTGTTCACGATGGTTTCCAGGGGGAACCACGTGGAGGTCGACCTAATAATTAGCAAGCATTGTTAGCAATGGAGTTTGACAGCCCCATTGCTAGCATATTGCTAGCAATGGGGCTGTCAACCATTGCTCCATTGCTAACAAACCCCTCCCCCCTTGCTATTAATGTTTATTATTATATAATAGTATATAAAGTTAAACGAAGAAAGATATGTCTGTAAATTAGGATAGAGGTACAAAATCGATGCTTTATTGCAAGAAGGAACTCAGTATAAAGTAGTATTTTAAAATTTTTATATACGTGGGAGCTGTGAATTGTTATTAGTAAGCGAAAGGACTGGAAATGATAATTATGACACTCTTACCTTATCGCTTTATTTAGCTTCGAATGATAAAATAAAATTCATATCATGTTTTTTATAAACTTGTATTTGCCGAATTTTTATAAGTAACGCTTATACAAAAACAGCATAGTAATTAAAATTCAAATCGGGATATCAAAGATGCGTTCAACGCGATACGTGATTTGGGAATATTTGTACTCAAACTACATGCAACAAGGCACACTTTTTTACATTGTCTCAGACAAATTATGCAGTAATCATATTACTTAAGCAAATGATAATTAATCAACAATATACGAATCGAGATGTTTATAACCAAAAGTGTGAAAGTTTTGCGTTCATATTGAAGTTTTCTTGGTTACAAACATCTTGATATCAATACAATAGGAAGCTCGTGTCTACACTAAAACTCACTGATCGATTTTTATTTTTTTTTGGAACATTATAACTTAATGGTCATACAGCTTAAAATTAATCTAAATTTACAATAGATCACATTAGCTCTTGGACTCACTGCCCTCTGACGTCACACAAACTCAAAGCCTTAAATACATATATATTTATTTTAAGAGACCCTCTGTATGTACGCTAAATCTTTTTTGATATCGCTGAAAATGACACTGGGGCCGATACTTATTAGTCCTTTAATTCTATCTCTAAAATTGTAGTTTAACAGAATCGTTATACTTCGAGCTATTTCGAATAATTAAGAATTAATTTTAACGTTGGTATATCTGACACAAATTTGTTGTAAATATACTATATATTGGTACTTGGAATACAAAATTAGCTCTAATATAAAATTGAATTTAATTTTAGAGATAGAGAATTAATTTACTTCAGAATCGACACCAAAGTTGCCATTTTTAATAAAAGAGCCTCTTAAATTAACTAGGTATTAGCTCTTAACCGTACGTAACAATAATTATTTCGAATAACGAATTATAACAACACAATATTACCATTTGGCACTAATACATCAATACACTAATGGATTGCATTTAGATTTCGGTTTTAAATCAAATTGTGAATGTGATTGAATTCAACCAGCCATGTTTATAGTAGTCAAGTATGAATAGGCTCATAACGAAATCATGGCATTTTTGTAAAAAAAAAAGAAAACATTTTTGCCGAAATAGTTAGTTTTTCCGATTCGAAAATCAAATTTAGAACTTTTAATATTGACGTGATAGCTAGACGTGTTGTTTATGGCCATTTGGTCGCAATTGCCAACAATTTGCTAAAAATTTAATTTCACTCATAGAACAGTCTTAGAACGATGCAAATGATTCCGTTTTCACCCTATATTTAAATGAAACCTGACATTATAGTTCATAAATGTAATCTGTGGTTTAGGGACAAATTATGTTCACATTCTCTATTCACAAATTGAATTACTCGTAAAGCCAATAAGAAGCGGCCGATCCATTGTATTTCGTTGTATGAAAATGTATGTAACAAGCACTGCCTATTATGCATTTTCATACAGCGACTGAAATATAACACAATGGGTGTCTATTATAAAATTTTCCTTAAAGAAAAGGTAACTAAGGATAAAAAATGTTAATGTAAAAATAACTGCATAGATACGTTTCACTGTAGTTGGTCTTATCTATTGTTATCTCATTATTTGGAAATTTATAACGACCTTTCTGGGCGTAGCCATTTTAGTGCCAATTCTTTAGTTCTTAGTGTAAGAAAATGGGACCGTTTCTGAGGCGCCTTATCTTTTAATCTAATATTTTAATGTAACAGTTTTGCCAAATTACTGTATAATGGACCATCATAAATTAGATTTACAATAATTTTTACTTAAATGTATTAAAAATTTTGTTCATATTTGTCCTTAGAAAAAAATTTCGTTGTGTTGTCGAATTGAAATTTATTTTTACTAATTTATTAAACTTTTTTTTTGTTGTATTTATAAATTTTAGAGATATGCCATCTCAGAATCGACCCCAATGTTTAGTGGATGGGTTATAGTAGTAATTATTTTATAATATTCGAAATTCAGTTTCTACAATGATATAAAACGTTACAATAATGGCACTTAATAAAAATAATAGTTTCCAAAAATACAATTATGTCACAAAGTCACTGGCAAAGTTCGGACGGCAACAGTTTATTTTTTCTTGGACCCAATTTGGTAATATTTTTCATTCGTCTCACACTTCAAACTATATATGGACAATACTTATATGGTATATTTATTTAACTAATCAATAAATAGTATTATTACTTAACAAGTGAATAAAAGTTGACCTAATGCGAGTTCCATAATTTACAATTTACACAAGATAATATCACAGCCCTATTGATGTGCTTTCCATTATGTATTACCTAATAGGATACAAAAAGAAAGGCTATAAACATAAAGTATTAAATTCTGAATAACAATTTAAATAATTCTTAAAAATAAAACTAAATGTTGTAATTATATTAAAACAAAAATAAATTGGAGGGAAATATTTCAAAGATACTTACATATAAAAATAAGGGAACTCGTATCAGGTTGAATGCTGCCAACATAACAATATAAATTGAAGTTCTGCACTAATGCAAACAGTTTAGTGGTTTATGACAAGCCACTAAAGTGCTTGCATTCTCATCGTCTCTAAATGTGACCTAAAATACCGCAAAATATTTTTTAAACATTGTTTTAATCGAATTATAATCGATCAATATTAGTCAGGGATGGCAAACATAACGTCGATTGCAACAATTTAAATTTATGTAAGTTTTTCCTTCTTTCTACTTCTGGGTTATTGTCACATGAATTAAATTGGTAGGTAAGTACTAGTTTAAAATTTTCCCTTTCATCTCTCATCCATCTCTATTTATATAAGAAATAATTTTTAGATCAAATTAACTCATTCATGTACGCGCTAATAATTTTACAATTCAAAAATTAAATTTATTTTTTTTACTATTGAAGAGACCCGCGATTGATACATCTAAATTATACTTTAATATAGATTGTTATCAATCGTACTACCTACCTATGACAGTAAAATATAACACACGATAGGTAGATTGATTGGTCATGCAAAAATATGTATCCTTATAACAAAAAGTAGTTTTTGATTTACTTTTGGCTTTAGTTTTAAATAGTGAATGTAAAAAAAATTGTTGCAATATTTTTATTAATGGTTTTACGGCCCTGGATACTAGAATCGTTATTGTTGCCAGTCGTACGTACAAGCATTCTCAACTTTTATTCGAAACTGTTAATGCGCGGTTTCTTGTATCTGATTTTTAGCTGCTTTTCTCTCCTGTTTGGCCGCTTTCTTTTCCGCAGCTTTCTTCGCTATCGCCTCATCCTCCGCTGGATTGTCCCAGTCTTGTCTTCTGCCAGAGCCGAATATATTGTAGAATGTTCCGCAGAATATATACACACCGGCTGCGATGTAGAATACTTTTCTCCATTGTGCTTGTGTTGGCTGTAAAAGACGGAATAAAGTAAAAAAACCGTTCCCAGTGCTGAGCAATTAAATCATATTAAGTCTGCAAATATTAGGAAGATAGTTACATTCTTCAATGATACAAAAAGTGACGTCTGATGAATTATTTTAACCCACGGATGTCTATAAAATCATATCTAATTCTATGACTAAAAATAAATTTGTAGCTGGTTCCAAGTATAATTATATATATATATATATATATATATATATATATATATATATATATATATATATATATATATATATATAATTAATTACAAGTACAATTATATATATTTCAAGGGCGTCTCAGTTGCCGTGTTCCAACAGGTGGATTGTCAGCTAAATTGCCATTTCAAATGTTAGAAAAATTTCTACAACTATTTTATAAATATTAGTTTCTGTTTTTTTTTTATTGATAATGAATGGAATGGTAACCCTGCTTGTGCTTTTGGTATACACTGGCGAGGTAGCAGTGAAGAATGACAGGCGAGGATAAAAGCAGGTCAGTTGGCTCACCGTGACTAATTCATTAAAATTTTGGAAAATAGCGTTGGGATTGACCTGTCAGAGTATATAGCTGTCAATGGGGCTGCTAGTCCCCATTTCTAACAATCCCTTGGAGGGTTTTGCCAGTAATTACCACGGTTGGTAGGCGGATTGGCAACCATAGTAAGATTTTGGTGATGATTTAAGAGGAACACTGCTGCCAATCTCTTGAACATCAAATTCCCTTAATCGTCTCTTACGACATCCACATTAAAGGAAGGGGTGTAGTATGGAAGAATTGGTGGTTAGACGTAAATCCGCTTACTCTGCCCTCGATGATGTATCCGGCTACGATGGGTGCCAGCAGACCGGTCAGGTTGGCGAGACAGTTAGTGAACGCCATCAGGATGCCGGCAAAACGCGGCGATAGGTCCAAGTGGTTCACCTGCAAATGTTAATTTTATGATACTAAAAAGGGCATATATGGGTGCACTACTTCCTCTAGAAACAGTAATAAGCAATTCAATAGTTTTCACGTTAATTGGTATTATTTAAGTTGGAGAAAGACAGAGTCTTGTCCGGCTACATCTCAAATACTATGTGTATATAAAATTTCGTGACGATCGGTTAAACCTTTAAGCACTAAGAGGTAACAAACTCCCATTTGTAAGGCGGAAACACTACAATGTTCGTAACATTGTAGTGTTTCCGCGTCCATTCATATCAGCTCTTAGTTGTCTACAGCTGAACATAAGATTCCCCCTTGAGGAGGTGTTGCCAGTAGTTACTACGCTTGGCATGCGAGTTGGCAATCGCAGTTAGGCTTATGGTAATGTTTTAGAAAGGATGCTGCTGCCCAACTCACGCCCTCTCTTAGTCGCCTCTTACGACACCCACGAGAAAGGAAGGGGTGGCCTATTTTATGGCGGAACCAAACAGCAGTACCACACACCCATTCGTGTTTCAACCGTGAAGCAGTTGTGTTTGCATGGCTGTGTTTCGGTTTGAAGGGTAGGATATGGCCTGAATTTACTGGGTACAGAGGAATAACACCTGAGTCCTCAAAAATGGCAACGCATGAGGGGTATCATGGGCAAAACAGTATACTCTGTTATGTCCATGGTACTGCTCATGTCTATAGGCGACGGTTACCACTTTCCATCAGGTGGGCCGTCAGCTTATTTGCCATTCTAAGTTGTATAAAAAAAAAAGTAAATATGTCTGCGTCCATTAGTATGTGTTAAATTCAGATATAACCTAAAATCCGTGTATCAATTTCTAACCGTATCCAAGCATTCATTTAAGCATGATTGAGTAACATACATCTAGATACCTTTAGGAACGGAGTAGGATTAATAATAAATACCTGTTTCCCGCGACTTCTCTCGCATGAATAAGTATAAATATAAAGTATACTGTGTTCGAAGACAGGTATAACCTACCCGTGTATTAAACTTCGAACTGGCCATTTGTAAACTATTTGAATGTAGATAATTTAAAATATAGTGGTTGTCATTGGAAAGCTCATTTATTTTCTGTACTAAATTGCGATTATAAAAAATATATGCGCCCTTCGAACCCTCAATACCAATATTTTAAACCATGTACCAAATTTCATTTAAATCAGTCAAGCAGTTTTTGCGTGCAAAAGTACCAAAGATCCATCCATACATACATTCTATAATGTTAGATATAGAATATGGAAAAACAATATTGATGCTTGACAGATAAGAGACGCTAGTGAAACTGTGATTCGGACCGAGTGTGTGGGTCATGACAAAGCACTATTGTACTTATGCTGAATTACCTATCCAATATTAGACCAATATTGTTTACAATTATCTAATGATACACATCCTCATAAATTTACTTGTTTATAACAGTAATAGGATGAGGCTAACCTTAAAACCGGAGTAGATACCACCGTTGAGGCCGACCCCAATAGCTAGGATGGCGACAGTCGCCGCCGGGTTGCAGCCCGTGTTCGCAGCGATGAACAGGCCGATGGCTGGGCCGTACTCCCCTGTAAATATCCAGCATATAATTTTAAGTTTTGTTTCTTATTCATGTTACATTCAGGTTCCAGACTCGTTATCATACTAAATTATTTACGTTAATTAATATTAAATAACAATACTTGATTACAATAATATGGGAAGCTAAACATCATATACTGGGGGGGAAAAGGATTGTTAATAATAAGATTTAACAGTCCCATTGCTAGCAATATACCCTATCAGGTCGACCTTCACGTGGTTCCCCCTGGAACCATAGTGGTTAATTCTTGTTCAATTGATCACTATGGGTCAACTGATCTGCCTTCATCCTTACCTGTCACCCTTCACTGGTGCCCCGCCAGCGTATACCGATAGCGCAGGCGGGGCTACCATTCCATCTTCACTCATTAAAAGAACTTCCTATACTAACATAACGTCTGGAAGTGCTGTGTTTATTTTTAATATTTTTTTTACTAAGGTAAATATAATTACGAGCATTTTTGAACACTAATTTTTCATGCCTCTACCGCCCATTCAGAATTTAGGTAATGTTGTTTCACTGTTATTTTACTATTGCTTGTTTCAACAAAAATTGATTTTACAATTATAAATTTGTGTCAATACAGACTAGTACAAGAGTTGTTTAAATTATTAAACCAAGCAAATCTATTATTATAAATATTATATTGAATTGTATGTCAAACAAAATACATTCAGATGGTATGGAGATAAAAATTTTTTGTCGTTTATTAACGCATCTCCCTTTCAGTTTCACTATTAGAATATTACCTAAAATGGTACGTTATTTATTATTACATTGTTAACTTCGGTCAATAGTTTTAGATGACGATGAATAACTCACCTATACTGTTGATGATCTTTCTGACTTGTGTATGGTTGAGCCGACCGCTGGACAGCATCCAGTCGGCGACCACTGAGATGAACATGGAGAACAGCCACATGCAGAGATATGGCAAGGCGGAGACGAAGCCATTCTGTTAACAAACAATTTAAATATAACGGCTGTACAACTTGACAATTCTGAAGTGCGACGTTTATATTAAAAAAAAAAAAAAAAAAATTGCAGATGTTATTTTTGAAAGTGCTGGAGTCGGTTTGCTGTATTTAAATAACATAAAATATTCTTTAATAATAATAGTTTGTTTGGAACAAAAACATTGATTACAAATTTATTGAAAAACGATGATATCCGCAGAAGTATAAAACTATGTTGCGAATATCAACGCCCCCCTCCTCATTGCAGGACTCCAAAACAAACCAAGTAACACATATAGTTTAGTTACATTAATGAAGACAATTGTTTTTGTTTAGCAGCTAGAATAATTGAAAAAATTTAAAATATTGTAGTTAGTAATTAATGTAAGTATTTAGTTTATTATTTCTTTTATTTATTATTTCTTGGTATACGTAACAACTAAAAAGACATAATGTTCATGTGTATAGGTGACGGTTACCACTTTCTATCAGGTGGGCTGTCAGCTTGTTTGGCATTTCAAGTTGCATAAAAAACAAACGAATTCAGAACCTCCTTAATTTTGAAATTCATTTTTGAAGTTGGTAAAAAATGATGTGTCATAAGTCGGTAAAGTCCTAGGAAATAAATGAATATTTTTTCAAATTTTATCTCTATAGATGGTTTGGAACCGTTCTTTACGACAATCTATGGGTAAGGTCTATGTTCAGCATTGGACAGATAATGGCTGATATGGTGATATATAAAATTCTAATAGAAAACGGATATTTAAAAAAAAATTGATACATTGTCAGAGTAGATCTACTTTATCGTGTACTTAACTGTGTCTTTAGTATACAAATAAAATAAAAAAAACATACCTAATTATAAAAAAAAAGTGTATAATTAATTATGAAATAAACTGTTGTTAGGCAGTTATAAATGTAGGTATATAAACCTAATCATAGAAATCACCCGGCAAATTTTGGTAATATGGTAACAAGCTCGAACTCAATCCAGATGGACACGCAATGTGATTCAATTAACCAATTGACTGAGCCGACCTCTGACACCAATTCGGTCGGCGCATGATTAATAAGAGCAAAGTCTTAGTTCAATATGCATATAAAATTCTCGTATCACGATGTTCGATCACATTTGAAATGTGTAGTGTTTAATTGTTTATTAATACAACTTAGAATGGCAAACAAGCTGACGGCCCACCTGATGGAAAGTGGCAACCGTCGCCTATAGACATGAGCAATACCATGGACATAACAGAGTATACTGTTTCGCCCATGATACTCCCCATGCGTTGCCATCCTTAAAGACTCAGGTGTTATTTCTCTGTACCCAGTAAATTCACGCCATATCCCACCCTTCAAACCGAAACACAGCCATGCAAACACAACTGCTTCACGGTTGAAACACGAATGGGACAGAGGTATCCAAGCAATCGACTTTTGTACAAAGTCTCCCTCTGGCTAGATGCCTCAATATAGATGTTAATACGTTAATTGTCTTGAATATGAAACCCGCTAGGGTGTTATAACACACATATAGCCGTACATTGATATAGTAAATTACATAATAAAATATGTAGTGATAATAAAATTACACTTCGTAAAATATAAATTTTAATTTCATATAAAAAAAATTACATCCTAAATAGAATTTATATAAAGTAAAATTTTGTTTTCAAATAAAATCCACTTTTGGTTTCTTTAGAACTGAAAAAGTCTTGCAACGAATAAAAACTCTTGTCATTTATAAATTGTTTTAATTTAGTGATGAAAATTGAATCCTTTTCTTCTTTTTTTTAATATATTTTGGTATTCTGTCGTAAATTACATTTATATATTATAATGATATTGTTCGATTCAACTCAAGAGGTAGGATTGTTTTTTCCCGATAAAATACATGGACCCGGAAGTAGTGAGTAAAACAACGTATACCAGGGTCAGGCAGTTATCTATAAAGTATCCGAAATCTCTTCATTATTGTTGTTGAAACTTTGGAATTTTATAATTTTTTGTCAATTTTTTTGTCTAGATAAGTACATTTATTTGATTAGTGATACCGGTTTAAACTACCAACTTTGGTATGTTCTTTATCAAGCTAATTTATTTTAGTCTAGGTATATTTTCTTTTCCGTCTTTTTCTTTTCTTCTATCCAAAGGTCGTTTAATAGGAAGTAATTGATTATATATACATATACATATACATATACATATACATATACATATACATATACATATACATATACATATACATATACATATACATATACATATACATATACATATACATATACATATACATATACATATACATATACATATACATATACATATACATATACATATACATATACATATACATATATATATACATATACATATACATATACATATACATACACATACACATACACATACACATACACATACACATATACATATATGTATCCGACGAGTAAAACTTTGTTATTTTTTCTACAGTGAGTGTCTATTTGGACAGTTTGGAATGCAATTTCTATTGAGGAGAACAGGCAAAAAACTCATCTATTGTTTTATTTAACAAAATTTTAAAATTATATAAAAAAATGTGAATGAATACAACAATTATCACAAACTTCATAATAATAAAAACTGCAATCAATCACAGTATTCTTAAAGCACCCGTTCCCAAGTATGATTACATAATAAAGATATTTATAACATTATAATTTGCTTACATCTTTAATGGAGAAGTGTAGCACTTGTCGCATGAATGTAGGTAGCTCGGTCATGAGCGTCTCGTAGCCGTAGTTCTGGCCCATGTGAGCCAACATTATGGCCCAGAATGGCATCGACATCAGGATCTTGCTCCATGGAATTGGTGGCGACTGTAATGTTAGGACAACTTGCATAAAATATAACATCGCCAGACTGAAATATTTTTTAATATTTTTACAAAATTCTTCCACTCTTGCGTCACCTACCCACTTCTATATGTTCTCCTTTAACCAAAGATTGTCTGTAAGAGATTGTCCTAGCGATAAGACCGCCTTTTGTACTTTTATGTGTATATTTTAATCAGTACACCACGCTACTGTATTTCAGTTAAATTGTTTATATGTCATTGTATATTTTTATGTTTTTGGTGCAATAAAGAGTTAATAATAATAATAATAATAATAAATCTCTTTATTTTCAGGTATATACCCATAGTTAACATTTTTATATTATTAATTAAATAAATTGTTATTATTATTTTTAAAATATACATCAATTATAAAATACCAATTTAAATTATTTCGTTATAAAATCTCTTGTTGTCAGGTATGCTGTGAGAAATATACAATATTATTACTTGTTGTCATTAATCTGTCATGAAATTTTGCCTTATAATTACGTAAAATAGCAAAAAAATCATTAACCCTGTTCTCTGCAAACATGCCAGACGCACTACACCGCCATGGCAAGTTGAGCATCGCTCGGAATGCGTTATTGTATTGCACACGCAATGTGTTATAAGCCCTTTTCGTATAACTATACCATAACTGGCTGGTGTAGAAAGCCTGACAATAAGACTTAAACAATGTCAATTTGACTAGCTTCGAACAGTGGTTAAATCGTCTAGCCAGCATATTGCTTCTACATGCAATGTTACGCCTTTGTCTCTCCAGATCGCTATCATCTTTCAGATCTTCTGTCAACATATGTCCAAGATATTTAAATTTATTAACTATTTTTAAAGTATTCCCACATAAATTAATTTTTGGCAAAATTTCAGGTCCCTTTCCATATTTAAAAATAATAATTTCCGATTTATTGACATTATATGTTAAATGATGTATCTTTGCATATTGTTCACATATTTCAATTAGTTTTCTAAGACCATTGGCTGACGGACTCAGCAAGACCATGTCGTCCGCATAACTGATATTATTTAGGCTTACACCACCGATATGGCAGCCAACTCTAGTCCCACTGAGTCGGCCAATCAAATCATTGATATATAAATTAAACAGAACAGGTGAGGTCAGCCCACCTTGTCTAACTCCACATGTAAGTTTGTAGCTCTCCGACAACACGTTACCCCATCTAATTTGATTTAACTGGTTTTCGTACCAAAATTCCAGTATACTCGTATTTGTAATATTAGGTGGAACCCTTGTCTCACGCAATTTATTCCAAAGCAAATTATAGTTAACTGTATCAAAAGCACGGCTGATGTCCAAAAAACAAGCATAAACAGAAGTTTTTCTGGATATGTATTGTCTTACAGTATTTTTCAATGAAAAAATAGCCAAATCCGTAGCCAGTCCCTTACGAAAACCGAATTGTGCATTATTTAGTGGTAGGAAGTCCTCTGAAAGGTATTTGTTAATTATGCGCTCAAATAATCTAGAAATAATAGTGGCTAATGAGATAGGACGATAATTCGTAATACTAGAGACATCACCCGTTCTGTTCTTTACAATAGGTATTACAATAGTCCTCATAAAGTCTCTTGGCAGGTAGCCATGATCCATACATGCATTGAAGAATAAGGCAATTTTCTCAAACAATAATGGGCTAGCATATAATAAGTGTTCAACGCTAAGTCCGTCGTGCCCAGGGGATTTGCCACGCTTCATATCCCTCACACATTTTAAAATATCCTTCCCTGTAACGTGGAGGGCGCTAGTGTTGTTGGACTGCGATGAGCAAGAAGAGTCCGAACCACTACCGGTCGCTCTCTCGTTATTAGATTTGCTCGATGGCAAATTAAATTTATCCATAAACATCTTTGCTATACATTCTGGATCCTGGCTACCGTTTACAGATACTGGTAGACTAGATTTATATTTATAGTTTCCTTCCAAAAATTAACAAAATCTTTATTATACCTATGCGTGGCAATTATGTCCATTTTAATTTGGTTTTCATTATGCTGACACCACCTTAGCCTATTTTTAAATACCTTACGACTTTCAATCATATTCTCATACAATTTACCCTGTGACGGGCGTCCATACAAATTCCATGTATTATAAAATTTCCTAGCCACCAAATGAAATTTTTTGACATGATAATTCCATCCAATAACTTGTTTCTTTTTAAATAACGTATTTCTGCCTAAAAATATATAACAATGCTTAACTATCTGATTGTAGTAAACATCAATCATTTCACAGTGTTCCTTACTTCTACAGGAGGAATCAGTGCATGAAATAGTTGACCATTCAAATGAGTTAATGTGTTGATCACATAATTTTTCATACCTTTCTATTTGCTCAGGGCTACGGTTACCCCAGATAGCCTTATTAATCTTTTTTAGGTTATGACTAGTTTTTGTGACAATAGCATCAATATCACATTCAATTACAAGAGGACAGTGATCAGACCAATATACGTCCTTTAACACATAAATATTACTAATAATTTTAAGTCCAGAGTTAGTAACAATACAATGGTCAATCCAACTGGTAGTGCCATGAGCATCACTCAAATATGTATAAGTATCTGATAACATACCCAAGTAGTCCACATCCGCACATAACCAGTCCTGGTCACGACAGTATTCAAGTAGCTCACTGCCAAATAAGCTATTTACACGCGACACATCTGCGTTAAAATCACCTAGCACTAATACACTTTCTACATCGTTATTTGCAATCACCGCACTAATTACCGCTAAACATTCCGTAAATATAGGCAAGTTATCTGGTTCTTCAGTAGGCATATAAACCGACACTATAATAAAGGTACGCCCAGTCGGCGTTTCAATATGTTTGCTACGCGCGTCGATCCCGTGTCCAATGGGGTAACATCCGTAAACAGGGTTTTCCTCCATAATATTGCTACACCTCCGTAAGGACGACCTTTAAGGGTCCCTGATATCCACCGCCGATATACCGTGGCTGTGGAAGTCAGGATGCAATCCGTCCAGATAATTTAAATCATTGGGTATTAGCCAATGTTCCTGTAAAGCGATGATATCGTAACTATCACATAGATCTCTCACATGTACACAAGAGCGCTTGACAGAGCGACAGTTAAATGAAGCTAGACTAATTTTTGTCATTTTGTACTTCTTTACGCGGACGGTAAGAGGAGTTCCTTCTTATTATGAATCGCCTGTATTCCACACCACTAGGCCAAAAATCTTCACTTAAAAATATATGCTCTTGTGTTCGTTCTATGGCTATTTTGAAAGAAGAACTTAATGCTTCCTTGTGCAAATTAAGTTTCTCTATCTTCACGACTGCGTGTCCACTTTCTTGTATAAAATCACTTAGGTTCTTCTCAGTAGTCTGTATGTCAAATCTAGAAACGTAAATGTAGGATAACTTTGGTACAATTTTAATTATATCAGATGTTAATAGACGTTTTCCCTGTTTGTTGTTGTTTCTTTGTATATTTTTGTGAAATTTCTTTCTTTTATTTACAATAGTCGTAAAGCTGTTATCAACACTGGAGTTTTCAGAAGTTTTACTATTATTAAACTTATTTTGCACTGGGCTACTCGGCTATAAATAAATAAATATGTTGTGCAACATACAGGCAAAATTTTTCGTAGTCACAAGTTCTGTTTACTCTTAATTTGGGATAGATATATATAAAGGAATCAATCCTAACAAGTAGTAAATACTAATTTCACATCATTTGCCTGGTCATCAAAATAGGACATGTAGTATTAGTCAACGAATATTGGAATCCATTCAGAAGAGCTTGTTTTCTAAATTGACCCGACGAGGAAACGAACCTAGGACCATATCTATGTACAAAAAAGTTATAAATTATTTGAAATTATCAAAATACTCACGCTAGAACCTGCCGTACCCCACAATGAGTTCAAGATATATTTCTTCTCGTTCTCCTGGATGCGCGTGCACTGTTCCGGGTCTTCAGAGACGAAGAACAGGAATCCGAGGCACCAGATTGTTCCGATAACACCGAATACGTAGAAGATGGAAGGCCAGCCGCCGGAGAAGCCATACGCTGACAATAGACCGGATAGAGGCATCGAGATTACGGTGCCGAATTGAGCCCCTGCAAATAACGATCGGGTTATCTCTGCTGGCTGATAAGGGGTTTAAATAAAAAAAAAAAAATATATATATATATATATATATATATATATATATATATATATATATATATATATATATATATATATATATATATATATATATATATATATATATATATTCCGCGACAGGAATAAAAGATATGACCAGGATAAAAGTAATCTATGTTCTTCTCAATCTTACTTATATATGGTCTCGAGATAGAATAGGCCATCCCTTCCTTTCGCATAATTTTCGGAAAAGGTGATTAAGGGACCTTAGTGGTCGAGCAATGGGCAGCAGCGTACATCTTAAAACATCACCAAAGCCTAACTGCGGTTGACTACCTCCCTACCAAGTGTGGCAACTACTGGTAAAACCCTGTATGTTTTCTGAGATGTTGGAACAAACATACAGACTGACAGACAAAATTTCTAAAAAATATTTTAGCTTCTGCTGTTCTTATATAATTTATTTCTTAAATATGTATATCCTATGTACAGACACCGTCCAATTATATTTTTTTTATATTAGTAAAATTTGGAGACTTTATTTATTTACGTCCACTTCTTATTTATTTACTTACCGGCATAAACGGCTGCACCCATTCTACTTCTCTCGTTTGGAGGGATCCACTTGGCCAGCATAGCATGCGAGCATGGTACTATTGGTCCCTGTACAAATTACAAGCTCATTGGTAATATTGTTAAGAAACAATAATTATAAAATACTTCTTATACTGACTATTGAAGGGTAACAAACATATAATACTTTAATCCTCAGGAATTAAAACTCATAAAAATACACTGTTTGCATACTCATAAAAGTACACATGAATATAATTCATGGTGTTATTCATGTCTGTGAGTGACGGTTACAATTTTATTGAAGTAGGCTATTTGTTTACCATTACAAATTGGAAGTTCGTGTTGTAGGATCATGTACGAATCCCCTAATGACTGTCAATGAATGATTAATTGACATGACGTATGAGCTTATACAAATGTCTTTAGACATGTCGCTCTAATATATAGAAGTGTGGTTTGATTGTACCTTATGTGTTTTAACAATAAATCAGTAATTATTATAACAATCTTTTAATATAAAAAACCAAAATAAGGTTACAGCAATTAGACACTTAAAATTACCAATAGAGGTATAGTCAGCACTAATCACGTCGGGGTCACCAATTAAGAGGGGTTGATAAATAGAATGCTTAATATTGACGTTAAGACAAGATTGATAAGAATGTTTTTTCTCTTCTCTCTTAAGTTCTCTTTTATCACGTCTTCATCAGTAGGAAAACATGAAGACTATATATGACAGACTTGTAAAAACATAAGACAATAGAAAATTTGTATAAAAATATAAAAGGAATATTATGATGGCCAGTAATACGCCACAAGTTGATGAATACAACTGAGAGTTTTTGAAAATATTTTTTTATTAGGCGACCTAACCTACCTATATTTGGGAGAAAAAGGATTGTTAGCAATAGATTTTGACAGCCCCATTGCTAGCAATATACCTTATTAGGTCGATCTCCATGTGGTTCCCCCTGGAAACCATCGTGAACAATTCTTGTTGAATTCGTCACGATGGGCTAACTGACCTACTTCATCCTCAGATATCATTCTTCACTGGTGCCCCGCCGGTGTATACCGATAGCGCGGGTGGGGTTACTACTCCGTTATCATCCATTAAAAAAAACCTACCTATATTTTTTTACAACAGAACGACATGTAACCACACCGTCTTGATCGAACACACAGACAATACGGTCCATAAAAAGAGAAAGATTTATTTTCAACGGTTGACCGCACTACAGCTCACTAACTGCTTTTTCATGTTACATTTGAAAGATCCAAGGTTATTGAATGAAAGAAACATGTACCTACGTAAAAACTTCCCTTTTTTAAATACACAACTAACAATGTCGACGAAGCATACGAGAAAGGCGTAACTGTCGTATTGCCATTGCGTCGTGCGTTTCTATTCCTGAGGACTAAGATAAGGACATACCTCTCCTAAACCTTGAATGAATCGGATCAGGATGAGCCACTCAACGCCAGCGTGAGCCGCGATCGGTACCAGCAATCCAAACACGGAGTTGATTAACATGCCCACGCCGAGGAACAGCCGGGCGCCGTACCTGGTGAAGAAATATAATAATTATAATAAACTGAAACTTACATATACTTTATATCCACTAACAGCTTTAGAGGAAAAAGGTGATATGTGGCTACCTTAAATTGTATAGATAGAGTCTCGAGCCTCAAAAACGGGTCAACTTTTTGTCAGCTAAATATCAAAATTAGCTGACTCGTTTTTATTATCAGTGTTCTATACACTTAGGCACATAATGTATCTCGACGTACCTATTATTTAATAAATAAAATGTGTGTTTACGCATTAAAAAGATGAAGAAATGATAAGACAAAATAAATATAGAAGTTATAAAGGAAACACCCATAACTACATATTTATCACGTAAAAATTTATAAAAAAATGACTCGTTTTTCTCGAAACATTTCTATGGAGACACTCTATCTATATAATTGGCTACAAATCACTAAAGTGATATATGACAAGTACTTTGGAATGAACAGCCGGTCCTAGATGTTTTTTTATTCAGGTGTTTTAAGGCCATTAATATTTATACCATCTTGTAACCACCTCTAGTTAGCACAAAAATAAACTGAACTTAGTCACAAAACACTATATTATACCTTTTGTAGTGTACATTATTTAAGCAATTATTAATCCTAGTAAAAATGTCCATTCTAAGAAAATATTGTATTTTCCAAATAAATAATTGAGAAATTGATTCGTAAACTAAGATCATGATCCAATATCTATCTTCCCCCTTGCAGGGAAGTCGGAAAGGACCAAATGTCAAAGGCTTCTTACCTTTATTTTTTACATACATTTCTTGCTTTCTGCACTTCCATAACTCATCACATGCAAGGGGAAAGGGATTGTTAGTAATGTAGTCTAACTAGCCCTATTGTAACAATATACCCTATCAGGTCGACTTCCACGTGGTTCCTCCTGATAACCATAGTGGCTAATTCTTAAATTAGTCACGATGGGCTAACTGAACTTTCATCCTCGATGAGATGATAGGCATCTCTTATTGTGCCGGCGCAGGCAGGGTTATTATATTGTCGAATCGGTTTCAAAAACACTTGGGTCATTAACTCCAGTCCCTTAGAAAGTACACATTCTATTTGATGAACGCTATATGTATTCGGTTTAGTTCTATTCTAAAAATGTACTCTATGATAGTAAGACCAATAACAGACAAAAATAATGAAAAAAAAGTCATTAAAAATACTTATATTTTTAATGACTATTTATGCTTTGTAGTTCTTTCTGTCATATTTATTTTACGTATATTGACATGAGGCCAAGTATTGTAAATAGTTACCTACGTCTGGGTAAGTGCGTAGTTTTTTTTTTCATACTTATAAAAGTAGAATGCTTTTTGGCCAGTAATTTTTTTAATATAGGTAATTTCTAACCTCCTACCTACCGGGGGGAAAGGGACTGTTAGTAATGGAGACTGAGAATCCCATTGCTAGCAATATATCCAACCACGTCGACCTCCTCGCGGTTCTCCCTGGAAACTATCGTGGTCAATTCCTGATGAATTCATCATGATGGGCTAACTGGCCTGTTTCCATTCTCATCTATCACCCTTCACTGGTGCACCGCCAGCGTATCCCGATAGCGCAGGCGGGGTTATCATACCATTTTCACCCATCAAAAAAAAACCTCCTACCTACCTCTTCTTTGTACTTTCGTACAAAAATTTAAATCGTTCACGAAATGTTATGAAAATTTGTATAAAGTTGAAAACTGTTCTCTATAATGTTGATATATTGTATTATAATATTTTTAATTCGTTCAGTGAAAGAAATTGTGCTGTAATTTAAATAATTTAGACGTGCGATAAGTTTTTTATAAAATAAAAATTCCACTACCTATCATTATAAATATTTTTTTTACTTTCTCTTTTTAAATATATATGTGTGTTATGTATTATAAGTACATAAGTGTAAGTATGGTATTCAAATGGTTATTTGCATATGTTTTTTTTAACACGAGTTTTTTTTTATTAGGAATACTTATTGCGCCAAATAGCTACCACCTTTTTTTCTCTTCTACCCAAAGGTTGCTGCTTTAGCGACTAGACCGGCTTTTGTTTTTTTTTTATACAACTTAGCATGGCAAACCAGCTGACGGCCCACCTGACGGAAAGTGGTAACCGTCGCCTATAGACATGAGCAGTACCATGGACATAACAGAGTATACTGTTTCGCCCATGATACCTCCCATGCGTTGCCATTCCTGAGGACTCAAGTATTATTCCTCTGTACCCAATACATTCACGCCATATCCCACCCTTCAAACCGAAACACACCCATGCAAACACAACTGCTTCACGGTTGAAACACGAATGGGACAGAGGTACCCAAGCAATCGACTTTTGTACAAAGTCTCCCTCTAGTGAGTCTGTAGTGGTGGTGGTCTTTGTATTTCATATTAAAAAAATGTATAATGCAAATTTGAAGAAACCTTATATTTAGCTGACTTAAATCTTAGTAAGATAGACTGCTAATAACTATCAGTATGATCTATTTCCTCTAAGTATTGTAAGGTGTCTATAAAACGCAAATTACGAGTGTATTTACAGTCGTAAACTGTGGTCGTAGAAATAAACTAAGCATCGAGTTAGAATAGAGATAAATATTGGGATTTCTTGATTGTGATTAAATAACTTGTTTGAAATCTATAATTATTTACGTTGTTAATCGTTTGTTTACTATCTCTTGGTGCCTTAACGGCTTGACCAATTATCATGAAATTTAGCACAGACATAGTTTTTGGGATGGAGTAGGATATAAGGCTATTCATATCCAGTAAGTATAATTATGTGAACTAAATCATGAATAAGGCTATTTAAAAACAAATTACAAGAAATGATAACCAAATATGAAATTACCTTTTGGACAATATTCCGAAGGGAATTTGTGTGAGGACGTATCCATAGAAGAACGAAGATAGAATGTACCCTTGCAGTGTTGAACTCCAAACGAACTCGCCGTCTTGGGCCGCATTCTGGAAAATGAATTCTAGTTAAACAAAATGTTATACTTGCATACTCCAGGTAAAAATAATGAATATATGATATATATGTATAATAATATAGCTCTGGTCAAACTTCACGCAGTTTTCCTGGAAACTATAGTGGTTAATTCGTAATGAGCTAACTGGCCCGACTATATCATTACTCAATATCTATGTTGACCCTATCAAAGACCCAAAGAATAAATAATATTTATTCTTTGTTGTACCTTATGCTTACTTAGTTATTTACTTACTTATGTATAGGGATAAATCACGTTGTAACCAAGATGTTTATGTTTTTTTTTTTTATACAACTTAGAATGGCAAACAAGCTGACGGCCCACCTGATGGAAAGTAGTAACCGTCGCCTATAGACATGAGCAGTACCATGGACATAATAGAGTATACTGTTTCGCCCATGATACCCCCCATGCGTTGCCATTCCTGAGGACTCAGGTTATCCCTCTGTACCCAGTAAATTCACGCCATATACCCACCCTTCAAACCGAAACACAGATATACGATTTTATAGATCTGGCCGCTTAAAAGAGAATAATCTATAAGGGCCAGCAAAGTAGTGCCAAGCAATGCACTTGAACTTAAGAAATCCAGTCATCAATTAGATTCTAAATAATAAGCCATATAATATAAAAGTATAAAATTTTAAATTGTTTACGCTATGAAATGACACATATTGCATTTACTTTTAAATTTAGAAACCGCTGCATCCTATAAAAGTATTTTCTGATAAAGTCTACAGCAATGTACAAAATATCTAAACTATTGAGATGAACTTTGAGAGCATTTAGGTCTAATGTCTACCTTTAAATAAATAGGTAGATTCATTACTTTCAGTTTGTTGCTAAAATTAAATTAATGCTATCATTATATCACCTAGTAAGATATGATTCACGATGCAGTCCTTGTAATGAGGAAATGTTTCATTTAGACATCAAATGTGAGGATATTCTGATTCAGATAGCTGTATCACCTAACGTCTAAGTCAGGGGGAAAGGGATTGTTAGTAATGGAGACTGAGAATCCCATTGCTAGCAATATACCCAACCAGGTCGACCTCCTCGCGGTTCCCCCTGTAAACTATCATGATTAATTTCAGATGAATTCATCATGATGGCCTAACTGACCTGTTATTTCATTCTCACCTATTATCCTTCACTGGTGCCCCACCAGCGTATACCGTTAGCGCAGGCGGAGTTATTATTCCATTAATATCCATAAAAAAAAAACTACTGTCATTCTTTTTAATACACTTACACTTGAGGCATTTGCGTGATCCACCCCGCACTCCGTGTCTATGTGTTCGGCGACCACCGGTAGCGCTGTATGGTTTACCATAGCGACAATGGCTACGGACATGTTGGTCCTCATGATATACGCATTCGCCATGCCCAGGAACAGCATGAACGTGACGAAGTGCCGCCGACCCAAGCCGCCTGCGAAAAGAAGTAAAAATTACAACGTGTTTACTAACTTGCCTTTTTGGAGGGAAACAGGATTGTTAGTAATGGGGAATAGCAACCCCATTGTCAGCAATATACCCTTCTTAGGTCGACCTTGCTACCGTTCCCTCTGGAAACCATTGTGATTGATTTATTGTTGAATTCATTACGATGGGTCAACTGATCTGCTTCATCCTCACCTATCATCTCTCACTGGTACCCCGCCAGTGTATACCTGTATACGCAGGTGGGGTTACCATTTCATTATCATCCTTTAAAAAAAACTGACTTTTTTTTAAGATTTCTAAAAAGAGGTAGATCTCAATTTATGTTTATACTTTCGTGGTTATGTTTTCCGATAACACCGCAGATTTCATTACAGCGCAAAAAAAATTTGCAACCGTTAACATTTATGTATTGGTTCCGTGTTAATTATTGCAAAAAAAAAGAAAATACAATGGTAATTAAAATAAGATCACAGTAGAAACAAAAATAATAAAAAAAGCATAAAAAAAAAATTATCAACCCATTAACATTCCATAGCAGGGCACTGGTCGCTCACTTTACAAGGAGGATACTCTCTCTAGGAAATATAGCTTAATATATCACGCTGACGAGGCAACCTAGTATAGGATTACATTTTGAAATGTCCATCTTTTGCACTGGTGTATTGCGTTTTGTTAGAGGCAAATTCTTAAAGATGCCCCTACCTTACAAAGATGAAAAAACAAAATGGCATTCACTGTCAGATTATTGTATTCGATCCTATGGCACCCTATTTAGACAGACCTAGCCCTGCTAAAACCGGTATTACACACGGAATAGTGTTTACATACTTATTATTGCACGTCGCCGTACGTATAAATACATACAAGTATATCTATCTATATATAGATTCCTGTGTACGTATACCACCAATTGGTTTGCTTGCTACCGAAGCGAAACTACAAATCACTCCATTTTACGACATCCGACTAGGTTGTTGGGCTATAAAAAACCTAAAGGAAAACTGCGCCAAAGGAAACTTTCATTTTGCCGTTTTTTTATAAAACAAACAAACAAACAGTAAGCGTTTTAAAATAATTGTCTTAACATTTCTCGAATCCTGCGCCAGCGTCATTGGCAATGATCTGACTGACGAATGAAAGACACGCCAGAAATGATTTACTTGTTCAATATTTCTAATGAAAAACTTTCGTTTCTCATAATAATCAATAAATCATTAATTTTCATCAGTCACATGGGAGGTTCTTTAGCCTCTACAAGTAAATACAGCAAAAACTAGACAGTTGAAGTCTCATTATAGTAATTCATGAAATTATATTGCAAATAAATCACGGTTTGCAATTTCGGACAGAAATATCTTGAATTGATTCGAATTGAAAATTCTTAAATCGATTCATGAGGGAGTCGATGTTTAAGAGATCGATTTCACAAAAAATAATAAATTTGCATGTGCAGATAATTTTTTGCGTTGCGTCACACAAAACAAGCTACAACTGCATGAAATTTATAAAATTTAAAAAAGCTACGCGGAAATAACAACATTCTAAAAGAAAAGAAAAAGTAATACATAGAAAATGACATCTATTATATATAGAACAATTTCGGTTAATTTACAATTAATCGATCGACCGATTCTTAAAGAGATCGATTCAAAATCTTAGAGTAAAACCCAAAATATTTATATTCAAATAAATCAAATCAAGATTGGAAACACTAAATTAATTATTAAAACAGATTTGCACACCTGAAGCCCTGAAGCCTAATGGCTAGTGCGTACAAGATATTTCTGGAAATGTTTCACGAAACATCATTAAACGACTATGTAACTACGAGTAATAAATCGTTCGTTTTACCAAATACTGGACACGAGACAACGTTACCTCGAACTTGGCAATAGGTGCGACCATGACCACTGGCCAAAACGTGGAGCGGTCGGCCACTTTAAAATATTACTATCACTGATATGAAATTAAATATTTACTGCTACAACGTGCCCTTTGTGTCAATTTTTGATCATAAACTACGTGCCAAATAAAGCGTGATCAACTCCAGTAAAATTATGATTCGAAGTCGCTACCTATACGAGTACTAATATTATAAATAGGAAATATTTGTTTGTTTGTTTACAATGAATAAACTCAAGAATTACTTAACCGATTTTAAAAGTTCTTTCACCTATAGTAAGCTACATTATCATTGAGAATAGGCTGTATCTAAAGCTTAACCGCGGTTGCCAATCCGTCTGCCAAGTATGGCAACTACTGGTAAACCCCCTAGGGGGAGGCTTAAGATCAGTAGTGAACAGTTAAAGGCTGATATGATGATGATGATAGGCTGTATGTTATTTTCTATCTATGGGTGTGAGGCCGAGACGGATTGCTAGTGTTAAATATAATAATAAAAAATTGGTAAAAGAAAAAGTTTATACTATTCAAAAATAACATACTGTCGGTAATTTATTTTCTGAACTTTGTATTTTCGAAAGAGTTTGGTGATAGAGAATTTATTTATAAAAATACAAATTTTATTATGGTGTTACAAATATGTCCCGAAATAAAATTTTTTTGAAATTTAACACATTCCCGTGTAGTTTTTTAGTAATATTTATGTAAATAAAGATCTATCGATTATCATGACTCAATGTGGAGCTTCTACCGATTTAATTTAAAAAAATTGATTTTTTTTGTCTAAGATCGAAAACCCTGGTATCTACTTGTTTGTGACAAAAGTAATTTTCAAATGAGTTCAAGGATCTGCGTTTGTGATTACATCTACAATCTATCGGCAATCTACCAATCTAGTTAGGGACATATTACACTATCAAATGTACGTATGCGGAACTGGTTTAATACCTACATGATAAAAATAATTTCACGAAAATAGCCAAGAACGTGTGAAACTATTGTCACGAAATAAAGAGTAGATATCGCTGAGATCATGTCTCTGTCAGCAGTAAAGCGTTCGCAACATTACTTTTACGTGTTTACGCGATGAAATTATTTGTAATAAATTATAATTAACCACGGATTAGTCTAACATAAGACCGCCTTTTATACCTTTATGTCTATAATTCGATCTATACTCTCTCTCTCTCTTTTTAGTTATTTTTACCTGATGGTAAGAATAATGTGGTCTAAGATGGAGCGGGTCCATGAATAGTCTATTCACATTTGCTTTAAATTTGTGTAGATTTTATTTGGATGGAAAAACATAAGTAGGGAGAGAGTTCCACTCCTTAGCTGTACGCATAAAGAATGAAGACACAAAGCGCTTCATGCGTATAAATGGCATGTCTACGACGTAAGGTATTACTGTATTTTAATAAAATTTAATGTATATTTCTATGTATAAAATACAATAGAGAGTTAAATAATTAAAAGAAAACAGTTTTAATAAAAAATCGCCTGAAACACAAACTCTTTTGCTTCCGTGAAATTAGTTTTAAGCCACTAATTTTGTTATGTAAATTAGGAAATTGCGTTTTTATTTGTATTACACAACCAAAATGGCAAAAACTAGTTGGCGTCCAGCCTAGTTTAGAATAATATGGTTAGGGGCATCACAGATGACGTCCACAACACGTGATTGTTTCGAGGATATTCTTTCAATCAATTAATTTTAAATGACGTGAAATAGTATGTTTCCGCAAAACTTTAATAGGTCATTTCTTGTAAAATAAATCGTTCAAATATCGTCAAAGTTGAGAATTTATGCGGTCGAAATTTTATTCAAACTGGAGAAACAAGTTTCCATTTACCTACATTTTTCTATATTGTTGCATTAGTAATCTATTTGTACAACTGATTAAATTATTTTTGCATATCGTTGATAACGTTACTGTAGTAAAACATTCACCTGTAAGACGTAAGTACTTTTATATTTACAGCTCATCCGGCTTGGCTGGGTTTTGGTTTGAAGATACCAATACCAATTAAATTACTAAAGGCAATAAAACCTTAGTCAAATGCATAAAAATATACTGTCTCCAAAGATATTTTTATACATTAATGCATAAAGATATACATATAACATTAAAGAGATTTTTTTTATTTAATGGATGATGGAATGGTAACCCCGTCTGCGCTGTCGGTATACGTTGGAGGGCACCAGTGAGCGATGGTAAATGAAGCAGGTCAGTTCTATTGCGACAAATTTATTAAAAATTTGTTACGTTTCCATTATTTATCGTCTATCCCGATGGGAGACAGGCGTTTTTCTCAGCAGATAACAACATCCCAAACCCAGCAGAAGAATCACAAAAAATAGACGATCTAAAAGAGCTTCTAAGTTTATTTAAATAAAGATTATTTCAATTTAATTTATTCTATGAAGACGCCAAACTGAAAACCTTAGTATGCATAAGAAATTTAGGAAACGATCATTTAATGAAGTCGCTGTTTCGTTTATCCATCTAATATTATATCATAGTCAGATGAATTATGGGATAATATAACGTTTATTATGTTATTATATAATTACTGATTACTTAATACATGACGTTAAAGCCATAAAAAATTAAAGATAATGCGATAATATAAAATAATGTTTATTTTTACGTGTACAATAAATAGGTATATACATAGGTATTGTATGTACCCAGGTATCTTCTTATAACGAGTATATAACGCAAATGAATTTATGTACTCTCTATATTATATAAATACTCTATGTATAATCAAGATATTATGCCTATTAATGTTCTAAATTTAAATGTATACTCTGAAACACGTTATCACATCAAAAGAAAAATGTGCTGGCAATATATTGAGGTCACTAGGTACATACAAATGAGTAGATACAAGTAATGTGCAAAATATACTCGTGTTATAAGATATGAAATTAATCTCATTAAAAATTCTTCGACTTTACAAAACTTTACAGAGCAAACTTTTGCTCTTCATATTCAACTGTATCTATAAAAATGTAAACATCTACCAAATAAGTAAAAATAAGTCACTGTCCGCGTCTGTCTATGTATTTGCTTACTT